ACCTGTCGTTAGTAGAGTTTTGGTACAATGACTTTCAGGTTCTAGGGGTTGTTCTTCCGCATTAGTTTGGTTAGTTATTTGTTTAAACCTTTGGAGTTTATGAGAACTCTATATTATTTCTGCATTTAAACCTGCTTCCGTATCTTTAAATGTGTAGTATCTTGGTTAAGGCTGCTTAATTGGGTTGTAGTAATGGTTCTCCCACCGAAGGGTTAGTGTGGATGCCAATCACGACGGTCTGGGTAGTGACAACACTACTTTTAAAAATTAGTTAAGATCGAACTCAAAAATTAACCTACCAAGGTCAATTTTCCTTAAAATCGATCAAAAATTGACTTCAAATGAGAAGTTGGTATTAAAATGCAACATCTAGAGGTTTGCACTAGACTATAAATACTTATTTGTTTAAGAATATGATTTTTATTATTTTATTTTAAAATATTTTTCGCAAGAAAATTTTATCTTTAGAAGTAAAAGAAAGAAACAAACCTCATACGTAGGTTTGCATTTTTTTTTTGTTTCTGACGCCAAAAAAAATTGATCTCCAAAATTCAATTTTTTTTTTAAAAATAAATTAATAGTGAGACACATAGTTTTTTTCAAGTATAAATCATTCAGAACAGAATTTCCAACTTCATCTTTTTATTTAAGGTAGGTAACCATTCATTAGAAGTTAGGGTTATCCAAGTCGGTATCTTAATTAACTTTTATTTAGTTTCCTAATGATTTCCAATTTTAATCTTACCTAATGTTAATAATCTTTTTCCTAATCATATAAGAATTGTCGTATTAAATAAAAAAGTTTTCCCGTTTCTTCTTTTTTCCTATGTCAAAAGGACTTGAGTTTCTAAATCAATAAAATATCAAAATCTTTTTCCATCTAATATTAGGGTTACCTTGCTTATATAAAGGTCCTAATAGACCACAAATCATATTATTGAAAATTTATTAGCTAGAGAGTAGTTCTAATATTCTATTCAGTTTATTCATGGCGAAGTATCAAAAAGATATTCAAAGAAAACAACGTAAGGTGTTGAAGTTAAAAAAAGATGAAGTTACTGTTGAACATTCAATATTCTTTTGTACGTCAATTCCAAGAAGATCAAGAAAAAAAACAAGCATAAAACAAATTGTGAAGAACGGTCAAAAATTCAATCCATCAACTAGTTGGCTTGACTACAAAAAGGAGAGCAAGAAGAAGAATTCAAAGGATCTTGATCAAATGGGTGACAATTGGTACTCTGTACCTCTTTCAGAATACGACATTCCAGATTCCTTTCCCAATGATCTTGATGAATTATTATGGGATAAAGATGTCTTTGATTTTATGAATGACATTCCAAACTTGTATAAATAAATATTAGAATTTTGATTATTATTAATAAAATTAATTTCCTTATTATACTAATTTACTTTATATTATAAATAGTTGTATAGATATTTGTGTACCTCATCGATCAATTACGCCGGCCTCATATTGTGCTTGATATTATACGTTGACACCAACGGCTGCAGATTTTGCTTCTTCCAACAGTATACTAATTGTTGAAAAATCATTAGAATATAATAAAAATTTAAATATAAGCTTAAGCTTTGATTTAAAATGTGGTTGCATGGAAATAAACCTTATCACAATCAGTGGCAGAGTCAGAAAATTTCACGAAGGGTGTTCAAGAATTACAATTATTGTGCTTTTTAAAATGTGAAGAAGAAAAAAAGGTGTAAACTGTTGAAAGTCACAAACCACTAGGCTACAACACCGTGTTGTATTAAGGGTGTCCAAAATATGTTATTTAACCCTTTAACATATCATTTTACTAGTATATACGATATAATTTTTCGACAAATATAATATCCGCTTTGACACCCTAAGTATGTTGTAGCTCCACCCTTGATCACAATGTGCTTGATTGTTTGTCTGGGAGATGTAGTTGAAGGTTGAAATCCACAGAAAGTTTGGTTGTACTCCTTATAGTTAGTGTTATACATGAAGTGGAAGATGGCTGCATCAAGGGTAAGACAAATGGTTTATTCATATCAAGAGTTAGGTGCATCGGAATCGGGAATAGAGGAACGAAAATGTAATAGGAAAATGCTCGAATATGTCTTCAAACTTTGAGAGATGAGCTCTATGTCATCCTTTAAAAGTTTCGTTTATCAATGCCTTTTCCGTTTGAGAAAAGGGTCATCCATAAAGACTATTTTCTCCATTTATCTAAGTTTTGGCGCTGTATATATAGATTGGAGTGGTTGAGCTTGGGATCTCCTAAATAAAGTCTTAGGATCAAAATTCACTAGATGATTTTTCGATCGAGCTCATTATATCAGACTTAACAAATATGGTATACCTCATTTGAGAGTATTATATCAAGGGTGCGTTTATCTTGAGCGCACCACCATTGGAGCTATGCTAGTGTGGTTACTTTAATATATTACGGTGTCATAAACTGGCTCACAAGAAAGAAAGCAACAAGGGAGTAAGAAATAAGCTAGCGTTTTGTCATAGATTTTCAAATATTTTGACAAATATTATTTGGGTAAAAAATTGAGTGAAATTTCACCATGTGTTTGATCATAATATTCGGAAAACATATTTCACTTTTTAAAGAAATATGATTTATACCCATAAGTTTTAAAAACTATCAAAACTAACCATATATGTTTGTATTACATAACACATGACTTTGTTACCTTGAGCCGATTGTTCATCATTTTCATCAACAACCATATCATTACTTTCATATTCACTGAATATTCCATCACTACTTTGATGTTCGCGTAAAAAATTATGTAAAACAACACAAACAACTACTATAGAAGGTGTTTTTATAAAAGATAAAAGTTTGATGTAGAATTTGAATTATAAAAAATTCCCAAATAATGAGACTTGACCCAAATACTAGTTTTTTTCTAGTATTTGGGAATTTGAGTTATTTGCCAAATAATGACAAATTGTATGGACAAACACTATTTGTCAATTTTTTTACCAAATTTTACTTGAGAAATTTATGGCCAAACGTGTCCTAAGAAAGAGTTGATTGTACAATATGGGTGCGAGAAAAAAATGTAAAATGGAAGCGGGTTTTATTTATTTATTTTGTAATAATTGTCAATTTACAAACTAATTAATTTTTTTTCATTTTCTTGTTAAAGATTATTTCCTTCCGTTCATATTAAGTGAATTGTTGGGGGTATGACACATCCTATCCCTATTTTTTCCCAAAGTACAAAAATTTCTTAAATTTATAGAGATCTCAGATACATTAGGAAACTTGTGGATACATAACTCAAGGATTGCGAATGATACATTACTTAATGAGAGGAATGTATTCGAGAGGGGATAAGGATGTATCCGAGAGGGACTTTTATAATTTTTTAAATGGTAGGAAATTTTAGAAATTATGATAAAATAAGATGTGTATTTATGTAATTTTTCTATAAATTAAATTTACTTTTTGCTATTATCCTTTGGATTATTCTCAAACTATTCTCCTAGAAAATGTAAGGTAATTAAAAACCTTATTAAAAGGAAGGATAAATATGAAAAAAAGTCTCAATATTCTCTTGAACTTTTAAAAATTCATTTATTTCGAACTACCAAAAAAGTCCAGCAATTCATTTAAGTGAGTAATGTTGAATAAATAAAAGATTAAAAAAACTTCTGATTTATCTAACTTTTAACTCAACAAATCATATAATTGAGGACACATAAACTTATATTAGAATAATCTTGGTTGTCTATGTAGAGCTTGTGTTTCTTTTATGTGATTTCTGATTACTTACGGTAAACATTACTCCCCCATCCATTTTTAATTGTCATGTTATATTTTTCAAAAATTAATTTGACTAATTTTTAAAATTAAATTAGATTACATTAATTTAATAGTTTAAACAAAGTATTTAGATATTCAAAAACTATACGAAAAGTACTATAAATTGCAAAAAAAAATTACATATCAATAAGATGAAAAAAATATATCGTAAAGTGTTAGTCTAAATTCTTATAGTTTTGACTCTAAAAAAGAAAATCACGACAATTAAAAATGTTAGTCTAAGTTCTTATTTTCATAGTTTGTTTTGTATAATTATCTTATTTTATTACTCTTCTATCTTTTGGATGATATTAATATCTTTTCATATTTGTAACTAAAAGTAAAGACGAAACCAACAACTAATTATGCCTTTGATTTTTAAAAATGACAAGTATTAGAGATAATTTATTTTAAACAGAAATGACAAGTATTTAAAAATGAAAAGACTAGAATAGTGGACGTAAAAAAGTTACTAAATATAGAATGTGACATCATTTTTAAAGATATACTCCCTCCGTCCATAATTATTTGGCAGGTATACTAAAAATAGATGTTCAAGATTAATTGTCAATTTAAACAATCAAGAAATAATTAGTTACTTTTTTCCAATTTTGCCCTTAATGATAGTGTAGTTCAATTGAAAAGTTATGTGGACTTTTGGTATTCTTGATATTGTAGGGTTATATTAGTCAAATTACACCTTGTATTAAATTTTCCTTGAAGGATGTGCTTGACCTTACCCTGACAAACAATTGTGGACGGAGGGAGTACAATACATAAAGATATCTGCTAACTTGCTCTCGACTGACATTTATGTCCTCTAACTTTGGGTATAGACGAATAAATACTTAAACTTTTATAAAATCAAACAAACAAACACATTCGTCCGAAGTGACATCCTATATAGAAATTTGTGTCCTACATAGCGTATTATGTGTATCAGGTCACATAGAATGCACGTGTCTATTTATTTAATTTTATATAAAATTTTAAGTGCTTACTTGTCCACAAATAAAGTTAAAAAACATAAATATCAGCTAAAATCAAGTTAAAAAATATATTTATTATTAGTAAAACAAATTGAAAATAAAAATAAGACAAAACAAATTGAAACGACAAATATTATTTTGAAATTAATGGTAGTTTGAAAATATTGCAAGTGCCATTTTCAAACTTGACAGGGTTTTACTTTTACATCCGAATCCGGAGGTCCCGGGTCTAGTCTACTCTACAAATCACTCTAAATTACTCCCCAACTACCCATAGTTCGTCATTCTTCGCCATAGCTCAACCTTCACCTCTTCATCTGCTTCAAACTCTATTTTCTAGAACCTTCTCAGCTCTCATAATCGGATTTTACTGCTAGCTTCATCTCCATTGTTGATACTAGAACAAGGTAACAAATCTAATCTTTTTGTATTTCCTCGTTTTGCTAATTCTGGAGAAGAGTTTTTTTCGTTTTTGTTCTTTGAAAAACTCATTGTACGGTCGTATATATGAAGATGTAAGCTCAAAATGCATAGTCTATGGAAGAACTTTGAGTTATCCTTGTGTTGATTTAAGTTTTGGCGCTTTCAGGGGTTTGAATTTTGATTTAGGATAGTTAATTTACGAGTATTGTTAGAGTGAGTAAAAGTCTCACATTGGTTGGGGAAATGGTCTGCTTATATGGACTTGGACAATTCTCTCTTCAAGAGTTAGCTTTTGGGTTGAGTTAGGTCAGGTACCATATCTTTACATTTATCAATTCAGAAAGTTACTTTCTTTGTTTACAACAATAGGAATTGAGAAGGAAGATGGCTTTATAAGATAAGTAACTATTAGTTGAGTGCTATATGAGAAATTAACTGTTTAATTTACTTGCCTTATTATCGGGTGTTGATTTTGCTATATTAGAACTAGAGCATGGTGGCTTGAACTGCCAAATCTGAACTGTTTTTTGGCTTCTTGGTATATGGTATTTAAACTATGCCATAAAGCTTAATGGTTAGCAAAGGGAAGTAGTTAAAAAATTCCCTTAACTGTATTTGCAATGTTTCATGTAAATGGAAAAGAGTTGTTTGTTGTATTTCTTTGCGCTATACTTAGTCAACATTGGAATACTTACATTTTCTGAGAAGTAACATCTATATGTAGTTGGGTGAAAGTTTTGTCGTTTTCGGTGATTTGAATTTTGAATAGGAAAACATTTGTCTTTTTCTCTTTGTTAATAGTTGATGTATACGTTGATTTCTCAGATGGTCACTCAGCTAATAGCAAGAAGTCACCTTTTTTCTTGATTCCAATTTATTTTAACAAAGAAAGTTACTTTCTAAAATAATAACTATTAGTTGAGTGATCATATGAGAAATTAACCCGTTAATTTTCTTGCCTTACTTTCAGATGTTGATCTTCTAAATTAGAACTACAGTATGATGGCTTCTTTTGATTGAAGTGAACGACAAAATCTGAACTGTTTTTGGCTTCTTGGTATATGACACTTGTTCAACTGCTTTTAAACTATACCATTACTCAATGGTTAGCAAAGGTAAAAAATAAAACTTCCCTCAACTGTAATTGCAATTTTTCATGTAAATGAAAAAAAGTTGCTGTCTTCTTAGAAAGGATTACAAAGCCTATTATCGTAACCATAGACTTTCCCAGGCTGGAAGTCTTCTCTTACCTAATGGTAATTGAACCTTGATAGTGTTTACCTACTTAAAAGATTGAAAAAAGCCAGTCATTCAAATTTTTTTGACAAAGCAGTCTTTCAAATTGAATGTTCAACTGATTGTTTAATGTGTTCTGGTTAGAAGTCCAGTAGCGAATGGTGCTATGTAATTGTTGTAAAAATTGATTTTTTTTTTGGCTATAGGAGAAGACGTTCCCTTTTTGTTGTAATTTTCGTACGCGTCTTCTTGATGCAAGAATTCCCTTACTTCATAATTTTTTTTAATTTTTTTTTTGAAATAGGTAACTTTGTATTCACACAAAAGACCTCATCAAAATCGATGAGGTGGGATTTACAAACCCCCAGGGGGTGCCATCATACTCAAATCCAAAAAGACAAAACTAACTTTACAATTGGCTTTTAAACTCCACAAGGCTATCTACTAACCCCACTAAATTTTGCTTACACCAAAAATACAAAAGACTAAGGCATTTCATCTTGATCTCCTCTGGGCTGCTAACCTTTCCTTCAAAACATCTCCCATTTCTTTCCTTCCATAGTGTCCACCATATGCAAGCAGGGATATTCTTCCACCAGTCTTCTTTTGATCCTCTCTTTCCAATTCCTTGCCAGTGTGTTAGGACCTCAAAAGTGGTTCTGGGCATTGTCCAGTTAACCCTGAGTATACAAACGAACATGTTCCACAGATCTGTAGCTATCTTGCAATGCAGAAACAAATGACCATTTACTTCAGCTTTCTGTCCGCACATGTAGCACTTTGAGCAGATCTGTATACCTCTTCTTTGTAGCACTTCATGGGTGAGACAAGCTCTTCTAATTACCAACCAAGTGAAACATGCAACTTTTAAAGGAACCTTAATTTTCCAGATTAATTTCCAAGGCCAAACTGTTGTCAGGAGATGATTGGTATTCCTCTCCCAATAGCATGATTTAACTGTAAAAACCCCTCTGCTATGCAGTTTCCAAACTGGTTTGTCCGGCTCTGTGACAGTGCCTGGAAACAAGTTTAAAGCATGCAGTAGGTCTGCTACTCTTCCAACCTCCCAATCATTTAGAGCCCTTCTGAACATAAGGTCCCAACCTTGAGGGGTCCACATTTGCGCTATAGTGTCATTCTGCTGTAGACTGATAATGTACAGATCGGGAAAAAATGTCCTCAGAAGGGTGTGGATAAGGTTTGCTCTTTTTGATTTCTCATGTACAGGTGGTTGTATTGGTAAATTATGTCACCACTTAGTGAAACTATTCACATTAGTCATGTTACTAAAGGCATTACTTCCTTACAATTGTGAACTTTAAAATTATGTAGTGGGTGCTCTACCTGTTTGCATTTGACACGGAAAAGTCCAGGAGAGAAGGTTAGGAAAGTGAAAGTGCAATGAGCAGAAAGCTTGTGTATGTTTTGACGCTTCTTGTTCTTTAGGGATTTTAAAAATGTTGAGCATTCACTTTATTTGGGGTCTCTAGTACAAAATGGGTGAATAAAGTGTCAAAATTTATGTCTAGTTTAAAAAGGCTGTTGGACTTAGTTTTTGATTTTGAGTGTGTGTGTGTGTATATATATGTATACAAGAAACTGGTAACTTGTTTTGAGTGTATATTGTGATCTCAGCTATTCGACGGGATTGAAGATTGATAAAAAATTAGAAACTTCTATTTCCTCAGTGGAGCATAATATTTTCTAACTGTAACAAAAGCTGTGTTGATCTCTGAGGCGATTTGTAAGCTACTTTTAGATGTGTTTGCTTGTCCTTGTTAAAAAGAAACCATAAACTGTGTTGGCTATTCCTATATTTTCCTTAAATGGAAGTAGTCACATTGGCACATTTACTGTGAGTTTTAGAGATTCAACTGGAGTTATATGATTCATTTTTCACCCTGGTAAGTCTCTTAAATGAGCGATTGATAACAGGATAAGCTTAAGGATCTGAGGAAGTTTCACTTAGAAGTATATTTCGAATTCTGCCAAGGATGTGATGTTGGTACATTTGCATGAGAAAAAGGAGATCTGAGAGAAACTTAGTGCATTGGACCTTTCTCTTTCTAGATTCTTATGCAGATCTTATGCCAAATCATCCCCGTAACACGTGTTATTGTACCGAAAGAGTTAATCCCCCTATTACTTGTTAAAGTTCCAGCTGCCCATTTTCTTTGGGAACTCTGTGCAGTTGAGCATCTGAGCTTTATATGCTGAACTGGTAACATTATCACCATTAAAGTTGGAATTTACTAATAGAATGAACTTTGTCTACTTTATGCTGTGATACATTCAAATACCAGATATAATCAAATAACACTTGTACTCATACTCCCAGGAGGATGCTTAAAATGCAATAGCTGTAAAGGTGTTACACATTATGCATGTTCAAATCAAGTAAAAAACTGTTCTTTTTGTTTGGTTTAAATACATTGATATTTCATCTGGATCTCCCTTATCTCTTGAAATTTATTTTTTGTGAGATAATCACTCTTCCAGTTAAAGGGAAATGGATACTCAGATTCACAGAGTTTGAGAATTTGTTTCACAACCTATGGCGGAAAGAGCTTCTAGTTTTCTAGATTATGTTTACTTTATTAATCTGTAGTTTTCATTTCAAGAAACATAAAGGCAACTATGGACAACTGCATGATGCTTATATATTTTCATTCAGAGAAATGAAAACGAAGGACAATGGAAATGTTATTTGCAGCCTACCGGGTCTACCCAAGAAAAAACTCCAGGACTTGTGCAAGAAACACGGGTTATCTCCTTATAAGACAAAACCCAATCTTGTGAGTTCTTTGGTCCCCTACATCAAGGTAAATGTCGTAAACAATCTTATTTTTGTAGTGAACAAAAGTGAATATTTTGGTGAGATTAAATATCTGATAAATGAGAATGAATTCATCAGGAAAGTGTATTCTTGATGTGATCATCTTGAAAATGCCTTATTCAAGTTTCTTGATTGTTTGTAACCTGCTTAGCCAACTTGGATTGACCACTCAAATACAAGTTCATCTTGCTGCAGGGAGCAGATGAGCTTTTATTTAAAGAGATGAAGACAAAGGACAATGGAAATTCCATAAACAGGCTACCTAAGAAAGGGCTTCAAGATTTGTGCAGGAAACACGGGTTATCTCCTTATAAGACAAAACCCAATCTTGTGAGTTCTTTGGTCCCTTACATCAAGGTAAATGTCGTAAACAATCTTATTTTTGTAGTGAACAAAAGTGAATATTTTGGTGAGATTAAATATCTGATAAATGAGAATGAATTCATCAGGAAAGTGTATTCTTGATGTGATCATCTTGAAAATGCCTTATTCAAGTTTCTTGATTGTTTGTAACCTGCTTAGCCAACTTGGATTGACCACTCAAATACAAGTTCATCTTGCTGCAGGGAGCAGATGAGCTTTTATTTAAAGAGATGAAGACAAAGGACAATGGAAATTCCATAAACAGGCTACCTAAGAAAGGGCTTCAAGATTTGTGCAGGAAACACGGGTTATCTCCTTATAAGACAAAACCCAATCTTGTGAGTTCTTTGGTCCCTTACATCAAGGTAAATGTCGTAAACAATCTTATTTTTGTAGTGAATAAAAGTGAATATTTTGGTGAGATTAAATATCTGATAAATGAAAATGAAGTCATCAGGAAAGTGTATTCTTGATGTGATCATCTTGAAAATGCCTTATTCAAGTTTCTTGATTGTTTGTAACCTGCTTAGCCAACTTGGATTGACCACTCAAATACAAGTTCATCTTGCTGCAGGGAGCAGATGAGCTTTTATTTAAAGAGATGAAGACAAAGGACAATGGAAATTCCATAAACAGGCTACCTAAGAAAGAGCTTCAAGATTTGTGCAGGAAACACGGTTTATCTCCTTATAAGACAAAGCCTAATCTTGTAAATTCTTTGATCACTTACGTCAAGGTAGATGTTAAAGAAAACATTATTTTTTGGTGAATAAAAGTGAATATTTGGGTGAGATTGAATATCTCATTCATGAAACTGAATTCATTGTGAATTGTATTATTGATACGATCATCTAGAAAATGTAAGATTTAAGTTTCTTGGTTGTGACACGACCTTCTTAGATGGCCTGGATTGATCACTGAAGTATCAGTTTGTCTTGATGCAGGGAGCAGAGAGTTTTTCCTTCAAAGAGATGAAGACAAAGGACAATGGAAATTCCATTTACAGCCTACGCAAGAAAAAACTTCAAGAACTGTGCAAGAAGTATGGTTTGTCTCCTCATAAGACAAAACCCAATCTCGTGAATTCCCTGGTCAATTACTTCAAGGTAAATGTTGGCTTTAGGTTGATGATAGACAATCTTGCTTTTGTGACGAGTGAATGTGAAACTTAGAGTTATTGAACATATGATACATGATGATGAGTTCATTATGAATTTGTATCGTGGCAGGATCATCTCCAAATTACTTGATAAGGTTTGTATGTTATTACATCAAGTGCTTAGATGCCCTGGGTTGATCTCTGAAATACAAGTTTTTCTTGATGCAGATAGCAGATACAGAGACTTCTAAAGGCAAAGAGTACAACATTCTAAATTCTTCTGGTGTGAAGAGCGCAACCGGAGAGATATTGTTTTCAAGATTCATCGCTCAGAGTGATGAGAAAGGTTTCAATCAAGGACTTGACAGTCCACAAACAAGTTTTTCCAAGAATGCATTTACTTCTGATGTTAAGTTGATGCATGTACCTTCTTTTGAGTTTTCTGTCTCATCAGAAGATGGAATCAACCTTTATGTTGACTTGAATTCATGCCCAACAGACACTTTTAAAAGATTGGAAAAGAAGGTGTGTGTATGTCACAATCTGCAGAATCACAAATTTCAAAGTTTCTGTCAGGAGATTCAATACCTAGGAAATAACAGACCAATGACAAGTTCATTTCTCTGGAAAACAGATTCAGACAATAGATTTAACAGCAGCCATGCACAAACTGTTTCTTCCGCAAGTTTATGTGGCACTGTTGATGTTGTATGTCATACAGAAAATACAAACGATGCGTCTTTGGGATTTTCAGCAACGACAAAATCATGTGATGGTTCTGTAGAAACTTTAACACATTCAGAAGGAAAAAAGGGAAGTCCATCTTCATTTAGAACCATTTGTGGTGTACAGAAAATGAATATCACTGATGTAAATACTTTTATGGGAGAGGAAGAGATAACATGTGTGGGTCTGAATACCTTTCAAGCTTCCAAGAAATCAGTGGCTATTAATAGAACTGTCAATGTTGAGGCTTATAACCCAGAAAACACTACAGAGGTCTTAGATGCTAGGCTATGTAAATCTTTTCATGCATCGTTGGAAAAAGTAGCTATCAGTTCCCCTGCAGATGTGCCAGAGCTAAAACATAATAAAAATGAAAATCAGAATACGAGGCTAGATGTAAGTTGTCTCAATTCTGAAAGGCAGAGAAGTTGTGTCCCAGAGAAGCTTATAGTGCTATCTCATATCTCTTCAGAAACTGATTTTACTGAGATAGAGGCTACAGATATCGGCAGTCATCATCAACATTCATCATATTCTTCTTCTGGAAAAGATTGCCTTAGATATTTGATTGATGCAGCAGAGAGCCTCAGAAGTCTACCCCATTCTAGTGAGGATACCTGTGGCATTTTCCTGGACGACACTCCTTCATCTGCTGCTGGTGGGGTAATATATTCTTAGCATAATCTGGTGCATTTTGCTATTGTAGCTTATCTAGGTTATAGCTTTGCAAATGTGATTCTATGTAGCTGTCATTCCTTGTCTATATTTTTTAAGTAGTGGGATGACCAACCAGTCTGAAATATAGTTTCTACTCTATGAATGATTAAACTTTAACTTTTGAAGATTATGTAAATGATATTCTTATGTTTTATATAGTTTCCTCATTACACGTATGTGTATTGTCAACATGTTAGAAATCTGAGTGTACCAGCTTTATTCAAGGCTAGTTCTTCTTTTTGTTTTTGTGGAGATGTTTCTTAGCTTGTGACATGACATTCATTAGTAGGGTAATATCCACTTTGATAAGCATATTGCTGGTCTGGTAATTTGTGAAAATGATATTAAATATTGGAATAGTTTGTGCGTTCTAAGCAGCTCTCCTTACTCTATTTGGATTTCTCCTCCTTTTTCTGCTCCCTCGCCCCCTTCCCCAACCCCACCCTAGTACAGGTGTCTGTGGGCTCGCATGGGCTACCACTAGTCAAACCATTGCGAAGACTTTTGCTCAGATTAATGAAATGCTCTAATCAAGGATCACTGATGACCACCATACCGGTAGATCTATGGGTTTTGGCTGTATTACCTTCAGGACTGCGCAAGCTGTGAGGGATGTGATCACGAGGATGAACAGCCCAAACATTGATCGTATATCAGTTGTGCGGAACCAGTGGTGGTGGTACCGGTGAGGGACGCCATTTGGGCGGTGGAGGGTCTAGAGGTGAGAGACACAAAGGTGAAACGGTGGTGGCCACAGAGGTGGCTGTGACGCCGGAGGTGGATATGGTGGCTGCAGTTGTGGTTTGTTACAGTGACAGTATATCACACTGCTGTTGCAGCAGTGGTGCCTTGGATGGAAAGGAATTAGATAATTGGGATTTGGGAGTGAATGTGGGTTTATTGGTTTTGATCAAATTTGAATTAGTTCTATTTTGATGTTTGTGTGACCGTTATTTTCGAGCAGTATTGGCTCGATTAAGTGGAAGTTACATATTTTACAGCTCTTCCATTTCTCAGTTTGCCTACTTTTTATATTTATCCTCTTTTTCTTTGCATGTAATAAGAGATGATCACTAAGCATGTAGAAATTTGTTTTCGTGATTGTCTCATTATAATTTATATATTTTGTTTCTTTCATGAAAATCTGAAACAAGTTAACATCATGATGTCTTTCATTTTACAGGCAAGGGCCGACCATGCCGACAGAACAGAAACTTCTAAGTAATCTATCTTCCTGAATTAAGATGCTGTGAATTATAGAATCTGACGACACAAGGATGAAAATTTGTTTTCTGGACTTGTACACTTGCAGAGAGCTTTTGAAGAAGCAGACGGAGCAATTATCCCATGGAGGGAAGAAGAGAAAGAGGCATGACGGTGAATCCGATAATGTTCATCATTGTAATGATGGGAGAATTTTGAGAAGTGCAACGCGTCTACAAAATCTTCCCAGAAGATCTATTCGGCTTGTCTCTAAGGTTTGCATTTAGTGTTGCTGCTTCAGTGTTTGATCATTAAATTGACTGAACAAATTAGAAAATGTATTGAACCTGGTTCTCGAATTCAATAAAGAATGGACACCTTATATATACTCTTCCTCCATTTCAATGTGTTTGTCTAGTTTTGATTTGGCATGGAGTTTAAGTCTTTAAGAAAGTAAAAGGACTTTTGAATCTTGTGGTCTTAAATTTAAGATATGTAGAATGTACCAAAATGTTCTTTAATCTTGTGGTCTTAAAAAACGCATGTGGAAAGTTGTAATTAAAAATTTTCCAAAAAGAGAAAGAGGCATTCTTTTTGAAACGGAATAAAAAGGAAAGTAGGACAAACAAATTGAAACGGAGGGAGTCTTATCTAACATTCTTGACTGGAAGTTGGACTAGTAAAAGGGTTGGGATATTAGGCAACCTGGTACTGTACCATTACTTTCTGCTGTCACCATTTTTAATATATGATATGTAAAAAATGATTCCTCTCACACTGATAAAAACAGGAGATCCACTCACAAAGCCATTTCAATATGCCGCTCTTAACCATAAAGCGGACTGGAGGAGGAACGAGATGTAGGGTGAGATTGCATTTACCTTTCTCCTTTTGGTTTGAGGATCAACTTTTATACAGTAGCTAAGTGGGAAAACCCTGTGTCCAACTAGTATAAAAAGGGAGTATTCAACTCAGGAGCTAGATTATTTCCTCAAGATTTTACTGTAATTATGAATGTATACAATTTGGTTGGTGTATTACAAAGTCCAATCAAATCCTTACATCAAATTCCCTGATGAAATCAATATTAAATATATATTTTTTGACTACCAAAAAAGGATCAATAGTATTTAAATATTGGACTGTCTTAACAGACGGAGTGCTGCAAATGGCAGGAAAAGAAGGATCATCACTGCTCCTCTGTCTTTAGATTTTGATTCTATCATCATTGCCTATTGTGAAATGATGTCCTTGTTTAATCCCATGTCTATAACGTCCCTCCAGAGACCTCCACATACGTCATAGTAATGTGATCGACCGTCCACCTCCTTGGATCTCATATTTGTCTTCTATAATTCTTCTTCACTGGATCATATTGTCCATAAAAGTATATGTGATCAGATGAAACCTTCTAAGAGCACTATGAATTGTCATTACCGTGGTTAGGGTCCATTCTTTCCATCCTGAGGGAGATAAGGGTCTTTGCAACGCCAAGGATATCCGGTCATTTGATTTTCTATGTCAAAACTCTACATCCATTTCCAAAGAGGCCCTGGCAAATATTCTTAAGTCTCTGATTCCTAATCCTCATTGTCATGCCCCTTTTTAACTCCATTAAGGGTTTAATTTTTTTTTTGTTTTTTGAAGTGACGCTTGTAAAAGAAGATTATTTATTTAATGGGGGTTACCACTTAGAATTGAGTTTGGTGTTCCAAATCACCTTTTATTTGAATCCTTAATAAAAAAGGATGGTATGACTCCTTAGTTATTGGTCCGTGAAAACAAGAAGACCGGGGGAAGGTATTAGGCACCCTCTAGTCATGTGGTTCTAGCATGGTCGCTTTGTTGACTTATATTTAGTGTAAATTAGTTCATGTTGGATAAAATTGTGTTTATTTGGTTATGCCTATGATTCAATTGATATTGTTTGAACTTTGATTAGTCTTAACTAAGGTGCGTAACCACGACCTTAGCTTCGACATAAACCGGTCAAGGCACATTACCATGACCTAGTCCTGTGTATCACACCCTAATCTTGAGCCTACTCGTCTTATTAAACCATGATACTTCTTTTATGAAAGTGTTGGGGTCAAGTCGCGTAACCATGACCTTGCTGTTCTATTGACATGTCCTTATCCAAGACGTGTAACTGTGACCTCGGTCACTACAATATATTATTCGTGTCGTCGTCTGGCCTATCACTTGAAGTATATCATTTATTAGTCTCTCGCAAATCCGAGCTTCTATCTTTGTCCATTTTTGTTCTTTTCATTTAATTTTTGCAACTAGTTTTGAATTAATTCGCGACTCATCTCGCTCCCTCATAATTGTTCTTTCCACTCTTTTTCTTTTACTTTGCTAGCCAAACATAAGAAATTTTAGCCCAGCCCCCCAACACCAACACCATCCTCTTAGTGATGATAAGAACATAGAAAAAATTGAAACCCATAGAGTAAATGAGCAACATCTGGCTCTCCCCAGAACAGTGAAAAGACAACTCTTTCCATGTGAATTCAGGGTTTTCCTAAGAACATGTTGTAGGAGGTGTCTGTGTCCAACACTTGGAAGTTAATTTTCAACTCAGTGGGTCTGATTGTCAGAGTGAGTTCATTTCACCAATGAGTGAGTTAGAGAGAATGTTTTCGATAATCAGCTCAAGAAAACCGTTTTCAAAAAAAATTTTCGGGACAAATACAAGAGTAAAAACTATGATGATAATACTATAGAAAGTACTGACAACAAAAATAGTAAAGATAATCAAAGTAAAAGAAACAATAATAGTAGTATCATTGGAGAATAAGATAATAATATACTAATATAATGATACTGATAAGTAGAAGAGGGAATAACAAGTTGCTCTAAGCTAGAAGTAGGGGTGTCAAAAATGAGCCCAAATAAAGGTAACCCACCCAAAATCGTAAGGGTTGGGCTCAAGATAATTTGAATTGGGTTCTGTCTCAACCCATTCATGCCTAAACCCATTTTAAGAGAATCCTCAATTGAGCCCAATTAATCTCCAATTTCAACCCGCTTTAAGACTTTTTATTTGCATTGATGTAATGTATGTTCTTATATTGAATGTATGAATTACTATCTATTTTATATCTTTTAGGATTTATCTATCCATTTGTAACTTTTTTTAAGAAAAAATTCTTGAGTTAAATTTCAAATTGGGGTATAAAAGTTAAATAACAATATGTTATAATTATTGAGATTAAGCGGGTCAAATTAGGCGGGCCATGACCCAACCCAATTTTTAACCCATTTGAACCCAAAGTAAACTAGGGCGAGTCAAGACCCAACCCAATTTCTATATCAACCCATTTTAATATCTTCAATTTCAACCCAATCCGCCCATAGCTAGAAGCATGCTCTCCCACAGGAAACACAGAAATTACCGCGATTACCTACTAATCCTCTACCCTTATCCTTGACCTCCATGCTTTCCTATCTAGGGTCACTCTTGGTAAGCCGAAGATGTTCCATGTCATGGATAATCACTTCTCCCCATTTCTTCCTTGGTCTTCCTCTACCTCTTCTTAGATTTATCACTGCCAACCTTTCGCACCTCCTCATCGGGGATCTATTCATTTTCTTTACATGCCCAAACCATCTCAGTCTCCCTAAATGCATCTAGTGTTATCAAAGGCGAAAAACGCAAAAAAGCTCTAAGGTCCGTGGGCCACGGCTTTAAGTGCAAATAAAGTGTGGGCTTTAATGAAAAAAGGCACAAAGGGAGAACAAAATACAAATATATATGTTTAGTCTAAAACTAATAATTATGAACATGAATGACAAGTATATGACCATGTGAATTGGAATTATCTAGTGAACATGTTACAGAAGATGGGTTTTGGATCTAAATGGATCAGGTGGATCAAATATTGTATAGGTACAGTCAAATTTTCAGTTCTGATCAATAGAAGCCCTACTGGTTTTTTCTCTTCTCAAAGGGGGTTGAGGCAGGGAGATCCGCTTTCACCTTTCTTGTTCATTCTAGCAATGGAGGGGATGAGTAGCCTGATTAACACAACAAAAGCCAAAGACTGGATCAGAGGGTTCCAAGTGCAAAACAGGGCAAGTAACAACCTAGAAATCACTCACCTACAGTATGCAGATGATACCTTCGTTTTTTGTGAAGCAGTGAGGAACCATTTTCTGATTTTGAGGACCATTTTCATTATTTTTGAAGTTGTGTCAGGCCTTCATATAAACTGGGGGAAAAGCTACATCTATCCAATCAATGAAGTGGTGCAAATTGAGGAGCTAGCCAATACGCTAGGGGGGCAAATAGGGGAGCTACCCACCATCTACTTGGGCATGCCATTAGGTGCAAAAAGTAAGTCAATAAGCATTTGGAGTGGAGTGATAGAGAAGTGTGAGAGAAAATTAGCAAACTGGAAAAGTCGATAATTATCCCGAGGGGGAAGACTTACTATGATCAACAGTGTGCTGGATGCCTTACCAACTTGCATGATGTATGTTTTCCCAGCACCAGCTGGTGTAATCGATAGAATAGAGGTACTCAGAAGAACTTTCTTTTGGCAAGGAAATGAAGGTAAAAGGAAGTATCATCTTGTCAAATGGGAAGGAAGAAATGAACATAAGCAAGAAGATAGGGGGTGTGGGCATCAGAAACATGAAGTTTCAGAACCAAAGCCTTATGATGAAGTGGTTATGGAAGTTTGCATCTGCTGAGAACTCATTGTGGAAGGAAGTGATTGCTGCAAAATATGGAATGAGGGATAAGTGGATGACAACAAAGGTGACCTCTCCCTATGGGTCTAGTGTATGGAGATCTATCAGTGATCTATGGGATTTGGTGCTAGAAAGATCATATTGTAAGGTGGGAAATGGCAGAAAGGTGGCGTTCTGGATGGACAAATGGTGTGGTCAGGTCCCATTAAGCCAAAGGTTTCCTGACCTCTACGACCTATGTCAAATGCAACAAGCAACTGTAGCCGAATTATGGAATGATCAGTGGTGGAATTTGCACTTCAGGAGGAATTTAAATGATTGGGAGATGTGCAGAATAATTGAGTTTTTGGTTACCCTAGCACAATTTAGTAACCTGTCTGAGGAAGAGGACTCATTGGTGTGGAATGTGGGGAGCAAAGGGTGTTTCACAGTAAATTCAGCATATGAAGATCTCAACACAGTTGGCTTTGAGGAAGTAGAATGGCCTTGGAAGATGATATGGAAAACCAAGATACCCTATAAAGTAAATTGTTTTACTTGGCTGTTAGCTAAGGAGAGTTTTGACACATGAGAACCTGAACAAAAGAGGCGTTCACCTGTGTTCCAGGTGCTTTTTGTGTGAAGAGCAAGGAGAGACAGTCAACCATCTCTTCTTACACTGCAAGTGGACAACCCAGCTGTGGCAAATGTTCACCAATATGAGAGAGATTAAATGGGTGAAACCAGGAAGGCTCAAAGAGGTTTTGAAGTGCTGGAATAGAGATGGAAATGCAGGAAGAAAGGAGGAGAGATGGAAGATGGTCCCATCATGTATATGGTGGACAGTATGGCTAGAGAGGAACTAGAGATGTCATGAAGGAAAGCAGAACAACATACAAAGATTTAAGCTTAAATGTTTAGCTCTGTATTATTTTTGGTGTAAACAAGTAGTCTTAGATAGCTCAGAAGTAATCAGCACAACTATGACTAGCTGTAACTTGGTAGGTATAGGATCCTATGTAACTACAACACTTTTTGGAGGGGAACTACACTTTTGAGGTAGTATACCTGTGGATAAATATAGATTAACTGTTACTTTTATCAAAAAAAAAAGTATATGACCAAAAAAATTGGAAAACAAACTATGATAAAGGGAAATATCAATTATTTAGTGTCACTTCTTAATAAGAGGCTCATTAGCAAGGAAAAGTTTGCTAGAGAACCTTGACAACGACACTGAAGCGCACATAAAGCGAGGTAAAGCGCTCAACACGTTTTGAGCCTCGCTTCAGCGCTTAAGCGTGCCTTTGATAACACTACCTGCATCTTGTCCACTAGTGAGGCCATTCCAACCTTCTCCCGTATATCTTCGTTTCTACTCTTATCCTTCTAGTTGTCCACACATCCTTTTGAGAATCCACATCTCCGCTACATTCATCTTCTTAACATGTGAATTCTTTTATTTTTTTTGAAGAAAGGTAACATTAATTCTATATACCCTACAAAAGTATTACAACTTACATCTGTGGTTCAATTTATCCTTACAAAAAGTCAAACATCAAAATGTCTTCTGTTTGAGCAAATAATTTTTGCTCACACCAAAAATAAAATAGGCCTAAGCAATTCATCTTAAGATTCTGTAAGCTGCTTTGTACTCCTACAAAACACCTCTTATTCCTCTTAGGCCAAATTGACCACCAAATACAAGCCGGGACAATCTTCCATCTCTCCTCCTTCTTACTTACCATGTCTGAAAATGTGAACTCTTGACTCGCCAATACTCTGCCCCATTCAATATTGCTATGACTATTCTATATAACTTACCTTTAGGTCTCGGTGGCAAAAGTTTGAGGCCGAACTAATTAAATCTAATACAAAGAGCGAGATGGGGTGCAAGTTTATTTAAAATCCCATAAAAAAGTAAAAGAAAAAGGGCGAAAAGAACAACTATGAGGGAGTGAGATTCCCTGTAGGTTTATAGCACGCTAGGCTAGCTAAGAAAGGTATTCTATCTTTCTCTTTTTGTTGTTCGGCTCGATAGAATTGTTTAGAATCCTCTCCTAGCTTCCTCTTTCCATAGATATGAAGACTATAAAACGTCGATCAGAGAGCAGGGTTGTTCTAAGATATAGAAGTAGTCGTGAATTAATTCAAGACTTGTTGCAAAAATCAAAAGAAAAGAGTGAAAATAGACATCTCGGATTTGGGAGAGACAAATAAATGATATATTTCAAGTGATATGCCAGGCGAAGGCACAAATAATATATCGTCCTGAGGTTGCAGTTTCGCATCTCGGATAATGACCTGTAAATAGAGCGGCAAGATCGTAGTTACACGTCTTTGACCCAAACATTTCAATAAAAGAATCTAGTTTAATCAAGACGAATAGGCTAAACATTAATCTATTAGTATAACATATAAATTTGTCAATTTAGTGAACTAGTTATGCAAGGATCAACACATGGATCTTTTTTTCCTATGAATAATATATAAATTTTTATGTGTCATTCATAATACATAAATATATATGTTGTAAATTTATAGTATGTGTTAGAGTGGGTAAAAATCCTACATTGGTTGGGGTATGGATTGGTGGTCTCCTTATATGGACTAGGGAAATCCTTTCCTCATGAGCTAGTTTTTGTGGTTGAGTTAGGGCCAGGTGCCATATCTTAAATGGGATCAGAGCCAAGTCCGTCCATCCCTGTTTGGGGCTCCTTGTCCACGCGCCAGTTGGACCTAGGCGTGAAGAGGGGGTGTTAGAGTGGGTAAATATTTCACATTGGTTGGGGAATGGATTGGTGGTCTCCTTATATGAACTTGACAAATCCTCCCCTCATGAGCTAGTTTTTGGGGTTGAGTTAGGCCAAGGTGCCATATCTTACCGTACGTATATTTATGCTCGGAATTAATAGTACATGGATTGTCATGCAAAATTGTGATACCAAATTCAAGAATTAAATTTACTCGGTAGTATGCTTTTAAAAGTTCTCTTTAAAAATTTTAAAAATTATTTTATACAAATTATTAAAATACTTGCTTATCCTTGTATATATATAGATAAATATTTTTTAATTTGACCTTTTGTGCAGCGACAGGCGGCATGTAATTCCTAAGTGTTAAAGAGATCTGCCTATGTAAAGATTAAACTCTCAGTACTGGTTTACAACATACATGTTCTTGTAAGTACAAATCCTGAAATTCAGCTTCGAGTAGTTCACGAGGTGAATAAATTATGTTTTTTGATTCCTTCATCTTAATGTTGTTTGTTTCCATTTCCTATTAAGTTTATCGTTCATTCAGCAAACATGTTAATTCTGCTCTAACTTTCTCAAAAGCTTTTCTTGAACGCGAGTGCCTAAGAATGGACACATGTCATACACTTCCATTTGAGTAGATTTCAGCTGCAACAGTTTTAAGCATGTAGATTCAAGAGTTAGTCTAATAAACTCAAGATGTTCACTGAAGGTTTATAGTTTTATGCTGTCTGCTCAGCTAAATTTCGTGAAATCAATTAATGTGACACTCAAAATCTATTTTGATTTCTGACCGTTTTGTTTTATCATGGATCATGCTTAGTTCGAACTCTTAAAATCATGTAACTGTGGAGTCCTTAATCTCACTTTCCTAACTGATTTTAACATGCTGCAGGAGGTTCCTTTATTCTGTATTCAACAACATACTCAGTGTAAGCCCACAAGTGGGGACTGGGGAGGGTAGGATGTACGCAAACCTTATCCCTATTCTGTATTCAAGAGAATAATTTATTTGAGGTCAGGCCAAGTTGTTTAACGTTATCTATTTTTCATTCTTCTAGAATGACATTTTTTTGCCCATCTTTTCTCTGTTATGCCTTGTTGTTTAAAACTTTGCACACTTTGCTGTTTGTTCTAAACCAGTTTGTGTCACTCAATTGGAACTCTGCGGCTTCAAATCAAGAAGGGAATGAACACCTCCAATTCCCCCCCAATGTAGTTATATTTGATAGAAATAATTCATGAACTTGATCCTTTGTCACAGCTTTTCTCCAATTGTCCACCCTATGCTAGTTGCAACTAAATGCTCTTCTTCCTCAAATCATGAGACGAGGATTACAGGGTTGGTCTCATTCTCTCTCTCCCCCCCCCTCCCCCCCCCCATATCTCCAGACGTGGGGAATGAGGGAGCTTGTCTTTCTGTACTGCTTTCTGTGATTGAATATTAGTTTTCTTTAAAAGTAATATAGAAAGAGTTAATGATAATTTAATCAACCAAAGAAGAATTGTGAAAGGTCAGTAACAGTAATGGTGGAAAATTCAAGGTGACGGAGGAAGGAGAAGAAAGAGGGTCCATTGAAGTTTACTGGAGTATATAATACTGAAGGGTCCATTCAATCTAAGAGTGTTCTGGTTGTCATTCTGTACCCCAAATCATAATAGTAGAAAGTGAAACATGCTTCTAAGAAACGAGAAATATTTCAAACACACGTAAAGAAGATCACAATGAGAGAATGGAATAGAAGCAAGATAGAGCTTCTATTGTGTTCTTGGGATTTTAATAGATAGATATCAAAACAAAGTAGGAATGAGAAGAAAGTAGTGGGATTTCCTTCATTAACTTGCAAATAAGAAGTAAAATTTTTTAAATCCCTCTTCACATCACCTGTTAAACAGAATAGAGGATAAGAGATACAATATAAACCTTTAGATCTCTAGAGGACATGTAGTTTCAATCAAAACCTTTATTGAACATTACTGTAGGATAAAAGACTGGAGGTAATTCTATCCCCACACAAAATGTGTACACAAAGATTAATAACATGAAAAAGAGGGAGTAATGCTTTTCTATCAAGATTCTTTAGGGAGGAGCCAAAAAACATGAAATAAAGATTTAGAAAATATAACAAACTATTTACAAGTCATAAACCTACGAAAAGAGCAGGAAAACTCCTTTTTATCTGTGTTCTTTCTTTCTATTCAAACAAATGTAACAGTGCGGAAAATGAGTGTTTTTTTCTCTCTATTTTTCGTTTTCTGATTTTGCATCTAGTATTCCAAGTTCACTTGATTGACTAATTAACATTAGCATCAAGTTGGCTTATTAAGGTCGTAAAGGCTCCATCCCAGAAACTTCTCTAAGAACTGTTCTCAGACCTTTGCTTAAAGGGTACAAGATTCCAACCTCCAAGGTCTTGTCGATTTTCTCGTTAACTCAATGCAGCAAATCCACCACTTTTCATCATCTGCTTAAACTCTATAAAATTCACCATTCCATCTCCATCAGCATCCACTTTCTTAATCATCCGCTTGCAGTCATCAACGGTCCGCCCTTGCTTGAGACCAAGCGATGCTAAGACAGATTTTAATTCATCCACGGTAATGTATCCGTCCCCATTTTGGTCGAACACATTGAAGGCCTCTCTAATGTCTTCCTCCTCATCGCGCTCTTCCATTATGGTCTCATATAGAGCACCAAATTCATCAATATCGATGTAGCCATCGCCATTCACATCAATCTTGTTGATCATCTGCGCCAGATCCGAATCAGACATGAAGATCCCCATGTTCTCTAACGAGTCATTCAGCTCCTTTTTCGTGATCCTTCCATCACCATTCCTGTCGAACATATGAAAGACACGCTTGAGCTCATCTGTCTCCATTATTCTGTGGTTAAACAACAATACAGTTATTGATTTTCACGCTACTGATTGTAATTTTTGGGAGAAGATTAGATGGCCTGAACTTTTTGGACACAACGGAGAGAAGAATTGTGTCAAAGAGGTGTCTTAGACAGAAAATTCTCAACAAAATGGTTGGCAGTGGCATTCTGTTGAGTGTGCAACACTTATTATTGTGTGGTGATTTTGGCTTCTTGGTTGAGAAAATTTTGGAGAGGAGCTTGGGAAAAGTTTTTTATTTTTTAGTACTATAATAATATTCATTCTGTTTTTTTTCCCTTGACCCACCTTTTGACAGATGTCATCTTCCGGGTTGATTTGAGCAATCAATCACAATTGAGATAAATATGTTTTTGACTTGTTCTGTATAAATATAAGACCAGTAAAAACTATTTGTTCCTTTGGATTACATGTGAATGAAGGAATGCATTCAGAAAATAGATCGACTTAGAGAAACAAATTTGAAGAATTCTTGATTTTTCTCAAGTATGGCCATGTCTTCCTCTACCAACCCAAGCCATACTTCTATTCCCTTCCCATCACTAGTGTCCATTAAAACAACCAAATTGGGTGCTATGCTTCCAACAGATGCCCATTTTGGCCTACCCCATCCAAAATCAATGTCATAGAAATTAAACTTACATAAACTAGTGGAGCCAAGTATTCTCTCTTCTTTATTCAATGTTCTTACTCTATCATCCATATTCTTTACATCATAGCCATGTTTAGTCACATTCTTTATCGAATCTTGAATTTTTTTTCACTAGTAACTTATAGTCTAAAGGTCCCTCAGAAACTTCCCAATTTGCCTCAACCATATGTATGATATTTCCCATGGTTTGTTGAGGTAATGGAGGTTGAATTCTTCTCCTTAAGTCTATTGGAGTTCGAATTACATAATTCTTAATACTATTATTATTGTTCCTTTTCTGCATAGCTGCAATAACTGCTTCCCATACAAAGGCTAACACAGCCTCTACTCGAGAAGTTGAACGTTCTGCTTTCGTGTCCAGAGCCAAAATATTGGACTCATTGAACATGAATCTTCTTGCTGCCATTTTTGGTTGAAGTTGATCTTTTTTCCCAAATTGAAACATAGAAAAACTATGGACCTCTTTCGGTGGAAAGATGGAAGTACAATCTATGAACAATTTGTCTGAAATAGTAATGTTGTCATTTTCTGCGCGACTCTGAATAATGCTTGCCCAGGTTTTGAGAAATGTGGCGATGGATGAACCATCAGTTATAAGGTGACTAACACAAACACCTATAGCAATTCCTCCACAAGCAAAACAGTTTATCTGTAGTGCCAACAAGACATTATCATCTGATCTTGTTAATGGATTCATTGGGAGTAATTTTCTCAGGACTTGAATTTTCAGGTTCATAAGCACATTTGACATGTCTTCATGAACGTTGGCACGCGTTAAATCAACACCTTGGTCGTTGCATTCAACTGTGATTCCATCTTTAACTCTTCCTGCAAGCGGGTTCAGGTAACTTAAGGTTTTCGAGAGGGATACCTTAAGAGAATCTATAACATTTTCCAAATCACTACTTGAGTTCTTGTTGTAGAAGAGAACAAATGTAGTGTAACAATTTGGAGCCTTTTGATCTAAAAGAGAAAGCTTGTGGCTTTTATGACTCTTTGAACTTGGAGAAAATGGTTTGATTGTTTCTTTAGAGATAATATCAACTTTGATATCCATTTCCCCTCAATGAGAATATGTTGATTTAGTTTGTACAAGTTTTGTGCATATAAGCAGATCAGAGTGAGAATAACAGATTCCCAAAAGTGCCAAAAGGGAAAAAGGACAATAAGGCCGGCAAAATCATCAAGTAGTGTGGTGAGATGAATGAGATCTCGTGGTCTAATTCTGGAAAAGGTCAATCCTAGTAGGGAGATTTTCCGCAGAATTTGAATTAGTCAAATCAGTAGGCTCGGAATGATGGATGATCGAACCAAATAAAAAATTTATTTGTGGCAGAGCGGATTATCCAAGGGAGCAATGAAAGTGATATTCAGCTGCATATAACCAGAGATTAGAGGACAAGACGTATTTATAAGGATTTTAAACGAATCAATTTATATTATTATTTGGAGCTTTTCACTAGCTAATTAAATTGAAATGTGTCGAAAGAAGTCTTGAAAGAAAAATTATACTTCTTTTTTTTTTTGAAAAAAATTCAAGTTGGAGGTAAAATTAGCATAAAAGTGCAAATTCAATTATTTGCCTTGCGCTTCTATTCATATAATTACCTCAATCAAATCCATGAAAAACAACATAATTAATAGTAGTAATTATTTTATATTTATAGATATAGCATATGTTTGTTTTTATTTTATATATTTATAAACATGATAAAGATATAGAATTTTGGGGACTCTTTCAACATTAAGAATTTATCAAAACTAGAATGTTTTTTTCTAAAAAGAAGTTTATATGGATTAAATAAAAAATAATTTGAAATCACATGTCACTTTATTTTTTAATTTAATTTGAAAGGGTTAAAAAAACATATGACAGGAAATAAAGTTGACAAATGATAATAATGCAGGACGGATTCATGTGGTATGATGTTGAGTGGGGCGAAAATAATAATTGTACTATGTCAATATTATAATGATTCATGCCTTGTTTTACTTGTGTGCAATTATACATTTTTAGTGCATTAATTTCATGCTAAAGATCAAACATATTGAAATTAGTAATTATCAAACATACAATACCAATTTTGTTTTTTTTCATATTAAATTGCTTTAAACATTTTCATATGTAATCGAAAGAGACCTTTTATTTTTTGTGAAAAATAAAAATAGTATTACTCCCTCCGTTCTTATTTATATTCACCAAATCAATTTTTACTTTATCATTTATATTCACCAAATTTAAAGTAATAATAAATTTTATGTTGGTGAGAATAATAAATTTTAAAAAGTAATGATGTGATTATAAATTTTATATACATATGAAATAAATGGTTAGTAGATATAAATGTGGGGTTGTTTTAACAAAATATAAACTTGTGGGTCAATTTTTGTACTTAAAAATCCCAAATCGTGATATGGAATTCCCATATCATAATTTTTGGAGAATATGGAATCCCATCTCATGATATGAAATTATGAAATGGAATCAGTATAAAATTGCATGTCCAAACACTGATTCTATCTCATGATATGGTATCACATGACCAAACGCCTATTAAAAAAATCACGTGTCATTTTATTTTTTAATTTAATTTGAAAGGCTTCAAAAAAAAACATATGAAAGGAAATAAAGTTGACAAATGATAAATGGGGTGGAGCCGGGCGAAAATAATAATTGTACTATGTGAAGTAAGGTGGGGTAGAATGAGTTGAAATCTTTCCGAGTTTACGTGAATTTGTCCTTCAATTGTTCCACTCTATTTGTCATCCCTAATAATATCCCTTGTCCATGATAAACTTATTATTACAAGAATCAAATTAGTTTAGTTAGTGAATTCTGAGCATTAGATAAATCTCTCTTCAACTCCCTCTGAGATTTGAACTATCAACTAATATTTTTAATTGCGAGTCATCAAAAGAACGAATATGTACTTCAGAGAAGAAGTGATAGAAATTGGTTCCTTACAATGTTTTTTGTCTTCACGCTTTCTAAAATCTAGCATATTATTCTATACAAGCTATAATATTCGAGTTTTTTTTTCTTTAAATTTTAGGATTCGTTTGACCATAAATTTTGAAAGCGTTTTTAATTTTTTTTTGGTCAAATATCTATTTGTCCATAGAAATTATCTAGTTTTTGAGAAATTAATTTTTAAGTTTCAAAATCTGCTTTAAATCTATTTTTGGGTCAAGATATATATATATATATATATATATATATATATATATACTAGTTTTTTGACACGTGCGTCGCACATGATTATCAATTTAGAAAATTTAAGCGAAAATTTTAATAATAAGCTTTGCACAAAATAATATTACAGATTCTTTTGTGAATGTTCAATGTGGTTCATCATATATATCTCTTATTCACACGAACCTATGAAGATGGTCAATGAAAAACATTATTAGTTAAAAGCAATAATTTATATATTTATTTCAGTTTGATGAGGTTCAATCATGTAATTAGTCGTATCTCACTAATATTACCTTATAGACGATATTTATTATGTATTTTTCTTGTCATCTAACCAGATGTGCTTTGCACGTGTATTCCACTTAATCTGTTTAGATGTCACATGAACATGTGGAGAGCAACTACATTTTATTTTTTAGAACTATTTTTGTATATTAATTTTTTTATATATTAATTTTAACATAATAGATGACGTTCTTTTTGTTGGCTCTCATATTTGACTTCTCGATTGACTGTGTACATAAATCAAAGAAAGTTATCTGATTGTCCATAGTTAACTGAGAAATGTTTTCTTTTTTTTACCGAAAAAAATAAAAACCAAAATTAAAGAATATATTATATCTGTGAAATCATATATATAATCACCTGTTTTTCTTACACCCAACAAAGATATAGTTCATATACTTGTAAAAAAAATTCAATTTATTCAAACAAGCATGATTCGTCCAAGGAAAAATAACAACACCGTGTTATCACATATATAGGGGCGGTATAATAATATGAAAAATTGTTGGTCAAAAGTTAATATAAGGAAAAATGAAAGATAGAAATAATTAATGTAATAACTATGAGAATTCATAATATTATAACTAAAGAGTATAAAAGAGTGTAAAAAATATTTGCAATAATTTGTAATAACTAAGAGAATTTATAATGTTATAACTAAAGAATTAATGTGCAATAGATGAATTTCTAATAAATTTTATACTTACATAAATAAGTAGGACTTTTAATTAATGTTACTATTTATTTTATAGGTATTAGATTTTAATTTAGTGTAGGGACAAAATGAAAATGTTTATTCCATATTACTAAATATAAAATTTATTTCATTAATGATAAATTTTAAATGATTCATATATATTCACATATTTTCACATTTGTTGTGTGTGTGCGCGCGCGCGTGCATTAATGAAAATATATATCTTATATAAAGTAGCTATAAATAAATAATTAAAATTAAACTAATATAGACTTCAACTGGTGTTATTAGAAGTCATATGAATTTTTCTTCGTCGAAAATACTGATATATTAAGAAATAGTAAATGGGTAAAACAAAAGGGCAGTGTTTACATAGTAATAACTATTTTGAAACAAACTTCCTGACAATCTAAATCATATAAGTAGCATTGCCAAAGAAAGTTATTCTTTTGTCTTGAGCATCAAAAAAACAAATGGTAACGATTCTCTAACTCTTGAGAAATTTAATAATTTTGGGAAAAGATATTCAGAAACATATATCTACATCACAAGAGAAATTGTTAACAAAAATAAATGAATTTATACTACAATAAAAATTAAACTAATACAAAATTCAACTGGCGTTATTACGAGTCATATGAACTTTTCTTCGTTGACATACTGAAATATTAATAAATAGTAAATCAGTAAAAAAAAGGGCAAGGTTTATAAAGTAATAACTATTTTGAAGCAAACTTCTAACAATCTAAATCACATAAGTAACATTGATAAATAAAATCATTCTTTTATCTTGGACATCAAAAAAATAAATCGTGACAATTCTCTAACTCTTGAGAAGTTAAGTAATTTTGGAAAAAGATATTCAGAAGCATATATCTACATCAATCATAAGAGTAATTGTTAACAAAAACAAATGAATTTAGACTACAATAAAAATTAAACTAATACAATTTCATGACGTTATTACAAGTCATATAAACTTTTCTTCGTCGAAAATACTTAAATATTAAGAAACAGTAAATCAATAAAACAAAAGGGCAATGTTTATATAGTAATAACTATTTTGAAGCAAATTTCCTGACAATATAAATCACATAAGTAACATTGATAAATAAAATCATTCTTTTGTATTGAGCATCAAACAACAAATCATGACAATTTTGTAGCTCTTGAAAAGTTTCATAATTTTTGAAAAAGATATTTAGAAGCATATATCTACATCACAAGAGAAATTGTTAACAAAAACAAATGAATTTAAACTACATCATGTTAACTTCATATATTGGAACATTACATACTAATGTATATACTAAGCAAAAACATAATTACTTTATCATCAGAATTATTTTCCTCAAGTACTCGGGGTTAAAGAATCTACTCTCTTAGGATAGAACAATTTACTTCATCAGAATAGTGGTATCTCATATTTCGCTAAACTTTGAACTCATTCAACGACAATAAATCACATGCAATTTTTTAAAATGCAAGAAGAAGAAGAGTGGAAGATTAAAAAAAAATTGTGGTTGAAAAATGAGAGGAAACCCCTCTATTTATAGTCAACAAAGGGTAGTATGAACAAGTAATTTTTGTGTCTTATCTGAAAAGTCATGACCTTTCCAAGAAATCACAGCCCTTTGGAAAAGTCACATCTTATTTAAAAAGTCACAACTCTTTGGAAAAGTCACAACTCATCGAAAAATCACAACCCTTTGAAAAAAGTCACAACTTATTAGAAAAGTCACAACTCATTCAAAAAATTACAACCTAAGTTAGGAATGTTATAGTAATTTAACATTCAAGTTAGGAGTTCATGCTTTTAAGGTAATTTAACAACGGTTATATATATATATATATATAAAACCGTTGGTTTCTTTTTAAAGTTTTAAAACTTGCCTCCCCAAATATTTTTATTTTATATATATAAAAAACAAACCCATCTATTACTTTATAATTGTTTTGCTTGATTTGTATAAATGTACTTCAGATTTATTTTGCTTGATTTGAATAAATTCTTCTTCATCCTAGCCAAAATATATGAGATCTCTCATCTTGTACTGATGAATTTTTGTAGCTACAATGTAAGTTGACGAATTGTAATAACTAGTAATTCTGTTTTTTATAAAAAAAACTAAAAAAATTATGTTATAATTTTAAGATAATATATTATTTAGTTTATCATAAAAATAATGATTTTATGTCAAACTTTTATATATATATATAACATTATGATTTATAATAATGATAAATTCAAAACTAGCTTACTTAATAAAAACGTGTTAAATAAACCATTTCAGATGCACCAACTTCTAGGATAATAAAGAAATGGCCAATAAATATCCACGTAGCATCATGTGATTGGTGCTACACAATTAAAGAATGATACTTATCCACATATAACTGCTCTTGTTTTCACAATCTATTTGACAGAGACGAATTTTATATTCGAAAATTAGAAACAGATCCAAAATTCAAAATTTGTTAATTCAGTAGTGCTACTGAATTTCAATAAACGCGTGACGAATATTCTGAATCCGTCACTGTAAAAAGATGTGTTGGCTTCCAATTCTCATCTTAATAGTTGCATTTGAGATCATATGCCTACAGCCTGCTCTAGCTGGTTTGTCTGTCAAGCATCTTCCTGGATTTGAAAGACCACTTCCCTTTCAACTTGAAACCGGGTAATTTTATTTATTTATCTTAAAGTAAATATTTAATCGTAGGGGCGGATCTACATTGAAGCTTTCAGGTGTTTTGGAGCATTCATTAATTTTGTATCTAATTAATAAAAATATAAATAAATGATATAAATTTAACCAGTGAGCACCCAAGCAACAAGTAGTTGATTGGTGCAGTGGTTGTTTGTGGGTGCTCAAAGTTACATTGCATCTGTTGTCTTTGGGTTTGATTCTCATTTTAACATTAAAACCAACTCTTCTCGGGCAGCAGATATTTATATCAAATTAATGGATGCATGACATATATTCTTTCCGTTCCCTTTTATTTGTTATTATTTCCTTTTTTAGAGTTAAACGATAAGAACTTTAATCAATATTTTATTATGTATTTTTTTTTTATCATATTGATATGCAAAAAATTGTAATTTTTAGTACTTTTCGTAAATTTTTTGAACTAATGTAATTTAATGTAACTTTGAAAAATAGTCAAATTGACTTTCAAAATGCGAAACATGATAACTAAAAAGGGAAGGAAGGAGTGGTTGAATGATTTTTTTGCGTTCTTAGCATGTGATGGTGTTTGATAGGATATATAAAAATAATGTTGAATAGGGTGTTTTAGTAATGATGATAATATTAGTTATGATGATATTAATTATGTAGAAATTATCTTTATACATTATTTGATTTAGTGTATTAAAATGATATACGTTGAATAATTTTTATTTTTTTTATTTACAAAAATTATACCCTGCATAAATATAATGAAAAGAATGTAGAAAAGATATTAAGGGGCAATTGTATTTTTAACCATGATAATGCATATATTAAAATCTCTTGCATTATTAATACCATGAATTTCTATGTATCAATTAGACATATCTTCATACTAATTAGAATGCATAACTAATATCATAGGTTGAAAAAATATACCAAATACTGTACAAAATTTTAAGTGTTTATTGAGAACTAACTTTTATTAATTAAAAGAATATCTACTCTATATGTAACACCATTTATTTACGAATTCAATCTTTAAATCTATACCCATAGTAATTGTGTGCATTTGAATGTTTGAGTTCGAGGAACATAATTTTTTAAAAAAATAAACATAAAGATATTAAAACATCCATTGGACATTATTGGACACAATGAATTGTAGTGGAGAAATCCAATCCCCACAAGGGGATATATATATATATATATAGTCCCAAATGGACTAAAGCTATAATGTACTTTTCCTATATGTGGTAAAATGTTTGAGATTACAAGGCGCTTGAGAGATGAAAATGAAAAATTTGAAAAATAAGTTTTATTGGTTACAATATATATGTTCTGTGACAATTTTAGGGGTTTATGTGAACACCCAATTATTTAGGAGTTAGAACGCTTTTTTTATACGTATTGCTACTTGAAACTCTTTAGAAAAGTTTTTGAAGTTTGATGTTTATTTGATCTGTTATATCTCTTCATGAGATACTTTAATATTTAATAATGTATATATGAAACTCGTAAAATATTGACTATTCTCAAATTACTTGATCAGGTATATAGGAGTAGGTGAAACAGATGAGGTGCAACTCTTCTATTATTTTATAAAGTCGCAATCTAATCCTAAAGTCGATCCACTTATTTATTGGTTTACGGGAGGTCCCGGTTGCTCTCCATAGAGTGCGATTTTTTTTGAATTTGGTAAATTATTCCTCTAACTTTATCCTTATATTATAAGAATTGGTTTTCTTTTAGGCTTTTCTCCTTTTTTTGCCATCGGCCAAAAATATATTACATGTGTTTACAATAATTTTTTCGCCAAGAAATAAGTGTTTTTGAATAGTTATACGTAGAAGTTTTTATTTCAACTTTTAAATTAAGCTGAAAGAAGTTTTTCATTTTGTTTATTTTTAATAAATCATAATCCATACTTATTTATTTATTTATTAGAATAATATTTTTATCGTGATGCTAATAACTTATTAGCATTATTTATTAGCAGAAATAAGTGTTTAACCAATTTTTATAAGATAGGAAAAATAATTGAGTAGTATTTACCTATATATTTATATATATAAACTACAATCATATACTAAAGCAAAAAAAAAAAGGTTACAAATTGCAAATTGTACTAATTAATTTTTTATGAAATCACTCAATTATGTTTTTAAGATGTTAAATATTATTCAAATTTCTTGCTAAAATTTGCAGGACCCATTACATTGGACACTAGAGCTTATAATGGGAGCTTGCAACGTTATCTTTAAATCCATATGCATACACAAAGGTCAGAAATACAAATAAAAAGGAAAACTTACGAAATCTCATTAGTTTAGGAGTAAATTATTTAGATACACTCTAATTTGCAATATTATGCATTTTATTAGATCTATGTGCCTTAAGATACATGAATCTGAGTCAAATTAGGTATAATTTTTTCTAAATACATTGTATTCAAGTGAATATGCATGTATGTGAAATACGTAGACATATCTCGCTCTCCTTCCTCTCATCTCACTCGTCACTCTCCTATATATCTGGTATCTCAGGTACATGTGGATTACATCAGATACATGTATCTAGTATGTATGTACTGTGATTCATATATATATGGGATACATGAGTCTATCTCCGTCTCCATCTCATTCGTCTCCCTCCCTATTTTAGTATATCTAGTGGTAACAATACATGTGTATTGGTGTATCTTTCTCAACATATTATCGAAAACTCTTAACTAGTGGTAAGATATGTAATTATTCAAAAGTATAGGTATAATTATTATATACAACATTGATGTACGTCTATAAGATAGTTTTTCCAAATAAAAAAAATGCTATAAATCACAATAATTAACAAGTTAAACTTATATAAAAAATTAACCGAGTCTCCTAATTTCATCTCTGTCACGATCAAGATCGTCGTGATTGGCACCCACACTAAACCTCCGGTGGGAGAACCATTACTACAACCCAACTAACCAAATTTATGAAAACTAAAGCATTTAAAGATATAGAAGCTGGTTTAAATGTAAGAGTCAAATAGAGTTCCCATAAACTCTCAAAAGGTCTAACAACGACTAACAAAACAATGCGGAAAATAATTCCATAAAATCTAAAAGTCAATGTACCAAAACTCTAACAAGGATCATAAGTCTAAGGAATGGGTACAAACCAAGCTAAACATAGGAATATCTAATGAACTAGTCTAAGTCCGAAAAGATGGACTAAACAAAAGGAGAACTCAAGACAGCCCGGAAGAGCTGGCTCACCCTTGAATTCGATGACGATCACTGCTCTTCTAAACGAGGTATGTCAATAGCCGCTTGAAGATGCCCAATACTCAACAAAGAAAGAGCAAGTGCAGTATCAGTACACAACCACAGTGTACTGGTAGGATCACGCGGCTATCCCAATTAGTGCAACATAAGCAAATAATTACAACATCATAAACATGCATACACTGAACATATACAATATCAAATATCACTTATGAACAACGTGCAATTCCACATTCTCAATTACATCAATATAACAAGTCAATGACCCTCTCATGGAACCCACACCCAAACTGTTAGTGTACCGAATCGTGGCACTCGTTCCAAGTTAGTGTGTCGGATTGTGACACCCGTTCCAATATTTATGTCGATACGTGACATCCGATCCAGTTAGTGTATTTAAACATAATACCCGATCCATTCAACATACCACAATCACAATGTACATTATTCACAATCATACAATTAAGAGGTGATTTATGACATATAGTTATTCGTTCATACTCATTTACATAAGGTGTGATCAATCATGCAACATTCACATACATACATGCAATACAATGAAGCAATTACAAACATATATCACACAAACATGAAAATCACAACCATCACATACCTCGAACAAAGCTTGAATCCCCTAAGAAACTTGATTCTTCCCTTTTCGGATTCTTTTCGCTTGTTCTTAGTCTACGAACAATCATATTAATACCAGGATCAATAAACAAAACCTAATTACTCGAATTATAATCAGTAACATCAACTCTAGGTCCAACCCTTGATCCTCATACCCAGATTAGGGTTTTTTCCACCATAAATCCCATATCAAACCCTCCCCCATCGATAATTACCCAAGAAACTAAGCTCTATGGATCGGAAAATGAATTCGGGGAGTGAAAACTTTACCTTTAGCCTCAAGAATGGTGAAAAACTTTCAAGAAAACACATGGGGTCGTTCCTTAGCTCTCAAAGTCAAAAAGTGCATAATAATGACGTTTTTGGGGTTTATTTTCGACTTAAGCCGCGTCTGTCCCGCCACAACGATCCTAACCTCGCTGCAGTGGCCCCGCCCTAGCGGCACAAATCCCGCCATAGAGGCTTGCACGGAACATAGATCTAATTAAAGAATTCCCAAACCCCTATTTCACAACACACCTTCATCCCACGACAGTCAGAAAAAACCCGTTCACGCTAAGATCATTTTTGGGAGTTCTACTCGCCTCAATTCAATTCCGTAAAGTCATACGGGCTCCTTAACGTCTTCGCTATCCACTCATATGATCAAATTCACAATTTGATCTCCCGTTTGTTACTAGATTTCCCTAGACCTCACTAACTCCGATTTCGTCCAAATCTGGACTAGATTGGGAAATTTTAAGATATTACCAAAAAGTTTTTCGGTCCAAATTTTTTTCCCGATGACTTATCTATAACGATGGAAACCGGTCGTTACAATTTCTGCCACATAAATTGAGACAAATACAATAACATATATCAAACTCATACTGACACGAACTCCTATATATGGTATATTTAAAAATGCCCCTAATTGTTTAATTGAATTATAGGTGGCAAGCATGATTTTTGTGGATTTGCCAGTGGGAACTGGATTTTCCTATGCAACAACACAAAAAGCAAATTACTCAGATGATTTACAATCAGCTAATCATGCTTATGAATTTCTTCGTAAGGTAAGTCATGAAAAAATATTTTTTTTATTTTTATTATTAATAATATTATATGTGCATAATTATCACGTATTATGATAATATTTAAATCTATTTTTTTAAGTCACCAATTTTCTTTAAGTATTTTACAGTGGTTAATTGAGCATCAGGAATATCTCAATAATCCTTTTTATGTTGCTGGAGACTCATATAGTGGAATTACAGTTCCTATTGTTACTCAAGTAATATCAAATGGTAATTAATAAATAATTCGTTTGTAATTATTATTAAGGAAAAGGGTCTGATATATTCCCAACTTTATCATTTAGAGTTGATATATCATTTGTTTTGAAAGTGACTCATATATATCTTTTTCTTCTTACGGAAGTGAAGAAAATTATTTTAATTTATTATTATTTTTAAAAATATGATCCATATGGGGTGTATTGATCCTCCTCACATGTAAGTTTTTGACTTTTTTGTTTCAACGACTAATTTAAATTTATTATTTTGATGGTCAAATTAATTTATGTTTCACTAATTTTCTTGTAAATTTTATTATAGATGCCCCATTTTTTTTACAAATACAAAAACTAAAGTACAATCTAGCCGAAAAAATAATTTTAAATTATAATATAGCAAAAAAAAATAGTTTTAATTTTTCTCCTTTACACTAAAGAATGAAAGAAAAAAAAAAGAAAAAAAATAAGAAACTCAAATAATGATAATCAAAGAAGTAAAAGAATAATTTATGTATGAAAAAAAATTAAAATATATATCTTGAGCTTTGCTAGAAATTAAGATCATATATACCCTTACATGAATTTCTTAAAAAATAGAAGTCAAAAGAATAAATTAAAAACTTTTTTTTTACTTCCGTTAAATGATGGGTATATCCGTATATGTGAGCTCGTTTTGTAACGATAGGGGTATATGTAAGCAATTTGCATAACGGTAAAGATATATATGAGCCATTTTTTATAACGAGGATTTATCATATCTAAATGACAAAGTTGAGAGGTATATTAGACCCTTTTCCCTTATTATTATAATATATAGTTTTTTATTTTATCAAAAAATTTAATATATTGTTGATACAAATTATACAATGCAGGTATTGATAGGGGAATCAAGCCATGGATCAATCTTAAGGTTGGTAATCATGCATGTATCTTTTATTTAGGCGAATTTAATTATATGTACATTTTGATGGAAATTAGGTGAATTTAATTATATGTAGATTTTTTATGGAAATTAGTTAAATCAAGCTATCTCACTTTTGATAATTTTATTCAGAGTTAGATTTCACATATCAATCGATAAGGAACTTTTATTACTTTAATATGATAATAAAAAACTAGTTTTGTGACTTTATTATTATAGTGAGTGAAGTTAAATAACTTTATATTAAAATAAACCTGAATTATATAGCTTAATACTAAAAAAAAATTTATGGTGGAAAAAATATCTGCAACTTTTACTTATAGTAACAAAAAATTTATTATGCATTTATGTCCAATAAATTAAATGGTATTTGCAGGGATATATTTTGGGCAATCCATTAACATTTGCTGGACAAGATTACTATAGGATACCTTTTGCTCATGGGATGGGCCTAATTCCTGATGAACTATACAAGGTATGAGTACTTCAAAATAATTTTAGATATGCGGTGATTTTAGATAAAAATAATAGAAATTCAATTATATATTGAGATAAAAATGTCTGATTTTAGGTAAAATAATTGAACTTTAGTCATATGTGTCTGAACTTCAGACATCGTAAGTCATATATGTCTGAAGTTCAGACACATATGACTAAAGTTAAATTATTACTTGTTGTGACGAAAAGATGAAAAACGAAAATCTAAAATAAAGAACACCAAGTTTAACGTGGAAAAATACTTCAAAACGAAGGTAACCACCACGGGATCGACAAGATCCGAATTGCTTCACTATAACAATAAGAGAGTTACAATTATTCTTCTAATGGCTACACAACAAGTGCCAAAAGAGAACAAACAATAGCTACACCAACAAAAGATAAATAGAAAGAAACACCACCCAAACTCAGCTGCTGTTCGGGACCTAAAACAGGATCTTTCTGACTTCCGAATCCGATCTCCACCGTTCAAATCAACCACCAAGATGTCAGGAACATTCAGTACAAATTTCAGCCCGATCCAACGGTTAGTTAATCGGAAAACACGATCTGAAGGTTGGTGGTCGGAATAAAGGACTGCAGCAAAAGAACCCTTTTTCTTCTCTCTTATCTCTTGTTGAAAGCTCTCTCAAAAAACCTCTCTTATGTCCTAATGTCTTTCAAAGACAATATTAATGAGCAATCTGAATTATTCTCTCAAGACCATCCTCTATTTATAGAGTTGTGCTTTTCCTTACAAAGCCAAAACCAACTCCAAGTAGGATTACTATTCCAATCCTTTTCCTAATAGAATTGGAAACAAAATAAAGAGAATAATTCCAATCTTTTTTCAAGTAGCATTTGGCCATGGGCCTTTGGCTGGAACTTGGGCAATAGCCCAACAAACTCCCCCTCCAGCCAAGGGGCCAAATGGACTTCAAGTGGAGGAACTCTTGACAGGCTTCATGCCTGCCGCACTTCTACAAAACTCATGCTTGTCTACGATCACCACTTTTGTAAGCATATCTGAAGGATTGTCATCAGTGTGTATCTTCTCAACCTCAAATAATTTCTCCTCCAGGGCCATTCTAATCCAATGATATTTTCTGCTAATATGCTTGGACTTAGAATGAAAGGTAGAGTGCTTGGTGAGATAAATAGCACTTTGATTATCACAAAATAAGACAAACCTTGATTGTTCAAAATCAAGATCTTTGATAAACTCCTTCATCCAAAGCAATTCTTTGGCACCTTCAGTGATGGCAATATATTCAGCTTCTGTGGTAGATAGAGCTACGCACTTCTGAAGTCTTGATTGCCAAGAAATAGCTTCCCCTCCAAAAGTGATCAAATAACCAGAAGTGGATTTTGAATTATCAAGATTTCCTCCCAAATCAGAGTCTGTGTAGCATACAAGTTCAGACTTGCCACTACCAAAGCACAACTCCATATCTGAAGTACCCTTCAAATATCTTAGTATCCATTTCACTGCAGCCCAATGTTCTTTTCCAGGATTGGAAAGAAATCTGCTAACGGTACCAACATCATGTGCAATATCTGCTCTAGTGCAAATCATAGCATACATCAAACTACCAACCGCGGAAGAGTATGGAATACTTGACATCTCATTCTTCTCTTCATTAGTAGATGGACTTTGGGTCGTACTCAACTTAAAGTGTTTAGCAAGAGGTGTACTAACCACTTTTGCCTCTGTCATGTTGAACCTCTTGAGTACTTTCTCAATATACTCCTTTTGGGATAGTGATAACTCCTTCTTGTGTCTATCTCGATGAATTTGTATGCCTAAGATCTTCTTTGCTGGCCCCAAGTCCTTCATCGCAAATGATTTGGTTAACTCTTTCTTAAGGACTACAATTCTAGATTTATTTTTGCCAACAATCAACATATCATCCACATAAAGTAGTAAGATAATAAAATCATCATCAGAGAACTTCTGAAAGAATACACAATGATCTGAAGAAGTTTTCTTGTATCCCTGATTTTCAATGACAGATTCAAACTTCAAGTACCACTGCCTTGGAGCTTGTTTCAAGCCATACAAGCTCTTTCTCAATTTGCAAACATGGTTTTCTTTTCCTTTAACGATGAAGCCTTCAGGTTGCTCCATGTAGATCTCATCTTCTAAATTACCATGAAGAAAGGCAGTCTTGACATCCATCTGCTCAACCTCTAAATCTAGACTTGCGGCTAAGGCTAGAACCATACAAATAGAGGACATTTTCACAACAGGAGAGAAAATTTCATCAAAGTCAATTCCTTTTCTTTGACCAAAACCTTTGACAACTAACCTAGCCTTGTATCTAGGTGCAGATGTATGTTGCTCTTGCTTTAATCTGAAGATCCATTTATTTGTTAAAGCTTTCTTACCTTTCGGTAACTCTACTAGCTCATATGTGCGTGCCATTCTCGTGAAGTGACTTCATCTCGTCTTCCATGGCTTCTACCCATCTATCTCTATGAGTATCTAGCATGACTTCATCATAACCTTCAGGTTGTCAGTCAAAAGGATATACTCATTAGGAGAATAACGTGTTGAGCTTCGCTTCTCTCTAGTGGATCTTCTACAAGAGGTTTCTGGAGCATCCAAATTTGTCATCTCAGCATTAGTTGGTTGATGATCAACCACAACATCACCAATATGAACATCTATAGGTTCTACACCCTGATCATTATCTTGGGTTCCTTCATGTGCAAAAGATGTATCAATAATAGGAACTGGATCAACATCAACTAAGCTCTCATCAATCTGAGAATCTGGTTTCTCAACCTTGTCAATATCTTCAATAGTTTGATCTTCAAAGAACACAGCATCACGACTTCTAATGAGCTTCTTACCAATTGGATCATAAAAACGATATCCAAACTCATCTTGACCATAACCAATGAAGATGCACTGCTTAGTTTTAACATCCAATTTCGACCTCTCATCTTTTGGAACATGCACACAAGCTTTACAACCAAACACTTTCAAGTGATCATAAGAAACATCCTTACCAAACCAAACTCTATTTGGAACATCACCATCCAAAGCAACAGCAGGAGACAAATTGATAACATAAGCAACAGTGTTAAGTGCTTCAGCCTAAAATAAATTTGGAAGTTTAGCCTCTGAAAGCACGCATCTAACTCTCTCAACTAAAGTTCTGTTCATCCTTTCTGCCAGGCCATTTAATTGAGGAGTCTTCTGATGACGAATTCCTTGCGATTTGCAGTAGTTATCAAAGGGACCAATATACTCACCACCATTATCAGTGCAAATACATTTTAATTTCTTTCCCGTTTGTCTCTCAGATAAGGCTTGAAACTCCTTAAACACATTAAGTACTTGATCTTTGGATTGTAAAGGATATACCCAAATCTTGCGAGAATGATCATCAATGAAAGTTGCAAAGTAAAGCGCACCACTTTTTGACTTCACTTTAAAAGGACCACACAAATCAGAGTGTACTAGCTCCAGTAGCTCAAACTTTCTTGAAGGAGGATGACTGTGAAAAGAAACTCTTTTCTGTTTCCCATCTAAGCAATGAACACATCTTTTTACCTTTGCTTGTTTCACACCAGCAAGTAAATTCTTCTTAGCCAAACAGGTAATCCCCCTTTCGCTCATATGACTAAGCCTCTTGTGCCACAATTCTGATAAAGTCTCACTTTCCACCAAATTTATAGAGTCTCCAAGGATCGATCCTTGTGTCACGTATAAATTTGAATGTTTTCTTCCTCGAGCTACAATCAATGAGCCTTTGGTGAGCTTCCATTGACCATTGAACAATTCATTATGATAGCCATCATCATCTAGTTGTCCTACAGAGATCAAATTCAGGGGAATGTCTGGAGCATGCTTGACATTCTGAAGGACTAACGTTGAACCAGTATTGGTTTTCAAACAAACAGTACCAACTCCAAGCACCTTAACCTCACCAGCATTACCCATCTTTAACACCTCAGAGTTAACAGAAGTATAAGATGAAAAGAAGTCTTTTCTCGGTGTAACATGTGATGTAGCTCCAGAATCTACTATCCAACTTGTATCTTGAGATACAAAATTGATGACGTCTTTATCACAAGCAAAAAAAAGGTCATCTCGGGCAACAGCAACAACATTGTTTCCATTATTTTCTTCCTTATTCCCTTCTTTAAGATCTTGCTTCAATTGTTTGCAAAATCTTCTAATATGTCCTTTCTTTCCACAATGATGGCATATAATATTTGGATTCCTGAATCTTGACTTGCTTTTACTTTTACCTCTACTCTTCGAATCTCTTGTCTTATCTCTCCCTCGATCTTCTGTGTACAAAACATCTGAATGTGAGGATGTGCCTTGAGATTTTCTTCTAACTTCTTCATTCAACACACCACTTTTTGCATATTCCATAGTCACCTTACCACCAGGAGCAGAATTTGTTAAAGAGACACGAAGAGTTTCCCAAGAATCCGGTAGAGTATTAAGAAGCCAAAGTCCTTGTATTTCATCATCAAAATTAACACCCATTCCTGATAGCTGATCAAGAACACCTTGAAAATCATTTATGTGATCAAGAATAGGACTGCCCTCCTTGTATTTAAAGGTCATCAATTGCTTTAGCAAGAACAACTTGTTATTGCCAGTTTTTGAGGCGTAAAGCGTCTCCAACTTTTCCCACAATGTTCTAGCATGTGTCTCATTCACAATATGGTTGCGAACATTATCTTCAACCCATTGTCTTATATATCCACATACCTGTTGGTGCTCGAAATCCCAATTTTCATCGGTCACAGTCTCAGGTTTATGAGCAGCAAAAACGGGAAGATGTATCTTCTTCACGAACAGTAGATCTTTCATCTTGCTTTTCTATATGTTGTAGTTTCTTCCGTTTAGACAAACCATCTTGCTCATATTCCCCTCCATATAGAGAACCTCGCTCTGATACCACTTGTTGTGACGAAAAGATGAAAAACGAAAATCTAAAATAAAGAACACCAAGTTTAACGTGGAAAAATCCTTCAAAACGAAGGTAACCACCACGGGATCGACAAGATCCGAATTGCTTCACTATAACAATAAGAGAATTACAATTATTCTTCTAATGGCTACACAACAAGTGCCAAAAGAGAACAAACAATAGCTACACCAACAAAAGATAAATAGAAAGAAACACCACCCAAACTCAGCTGCTGTTCGGGACCTAAAACAGGATCTTTCTGACTTCCGAATCCGATCTCCACCGTTCAAATCAACCACCAAGATGTCAGGAACATTCAGTACAAATTTCAGCCCGATCCAACGGTTAGTTAATCGGAAAACACGATCTGAAGGTTGGTGGTCGGAATAAAGGACTGCAGCAAAATAACCCTTTTTCTTCTCTCTTATCTCTTGTTGAAAGCTCTCTCAAAAAACCTCTCTTATGTCTTAATGTCTTTCAAAGACAATATTAATGACCAATCTGAATTATTCTCTCAAGACCATCCTCTATTTATAGAGTTGTGCTTTTCCTTACAAAGCCAAAACCAACTTCAAGTAGGATTACTATTCCAATCCTTTTCCTAATAGAATTGGAAACAAAATAAAGAGAATAATTCCAATCTTTTTTCAAGTAGGATTTGGCCATGGGCCTTTGGCTGGAACTTGGGCAATAGCCCAACAACCTTTTGCTCATGGGATGGGCCTAATTCCTGATGAACTATACAAGGTATGAGTACTTCAAAATAATTTTAGATATGTGGTGATTTTAGATAAAAATAATAGAAATTCAATTATATATTGAGATAAAAATGTCTGATTTTAGGTAAAATAATTGAACTTTAGTCATATGTGTCTGAACTTCAGACATCGTAAGTCATATATGTCTGAAGTTCAGACACATATGACTAAAGTTAAATTATTACCTAAGTATCACATTAAATTATTTTATTTCTTCAAATGCCTCTATAATTAAGTGTAATTTAATTTCCATTAACAGTCATTAGTGACTAATTGTGAAGAAGAGTCGATACATAATGGTCCAACCAACCCACTTTGTTCAAGGGACATGCATACTTTCAAATGGGTAAGCTCTCACTCATTTTTTTTTAATAATTAATTTTAATTGTCAAGTTAATAATTAAAAACCATTAATACATTAATGCAGTTGACTAAGGATATTTATCAATATAATATCCTAGAGTCCCCTTGTGAACTTGTATCAAATGATTCAAGAAGATGGTTGACTGAAAATGTTCTAAAGCTCAAAAATTCTGCTACATATCCTCAAGTTAAATGTCGAGTAAGTTACTATCAATTTTTTATTTTTTACTTTATCTCGCCACGAGGAAACAATCTTGTTTTTACCTTGAATCCTCGTAACTTCAACTTGAGAATAATTCGAAGCTATAGTCATAAGTTGGATAAATTTGAACCTTACACATGAAATTCATATATTTCACGTTGAAACTCTGCTAATTGTAATGACAATATGAGACAATTCGCTAATGCAAGAATAATATTGGGTAACGTACGACAAGAAATACTGTTTATCTTGGAAAAACAAGACAATTGAACAAATTCAGATACATGGATAAATTTAGATTTTTTTCTTGTTATTATATTATATATTATATATTATGATATGAAAATCAGAACAAATATCTAACAATTTATTTCCCCGTAATTATTTTTGTAGAAAGAATGGCGGCATGACCTCTCTTTGATTTGGGCCAACGATAATATTGTAAGGGATGCTCTTCATGTTCGAAAGGTATGTAATTTTAATAATAATAATAAAAAATCAAATTGAAATTTAGATATTATTTATTAAAATATCAAAATTAAATCAAATTCAGAAAACTATTGGAGCATGGGAGGAATGCAAGAGGAACTTGCCTTTTGGAACAATTATCAACAATACTATACCATATCATTCAAATCTTAGTCGTAAAGGTTTTAGATCTCTTATTATAGGTATTTATTAGACTATTTTATTTTCGAGCTAATACATTTTATAATAATTTTCTAAACTTATTTTTGAGGTTAATTTCATTAATAATCACTTAATATTATATTATTACAGTAAAATTACCAAACTATTTTTTATAACGAAATGATTATTCAATTTTACCATAGTATCATAAAAACTTACAAATTTTTTTGGAGTAGTGGTGATCACGATATGGTTGTGCCATTTATTTCAACTCAAGTATGGATTAAATCACTAAACTATTCAATTATTGATGATTGGAAGCCATGGATTGTTGATGGTCAAGTGGCAGGGTGAATTTCTAACCTATTTTTTTTTCCAATTATTCCTTAATTAATGTTAAGCAAAAGAATAAATTGAAAAAAATATTAATTAAGTTTGATTGCATATACGTATACAAGAAGTTACTCCAATCAAATGACATTCGTGAGAATTAAGGTAAAAAACTATTACACCTGTTTTAATTTATTTGTTTTACTTCTTTTTTTTTTAGTTTTTTTATTTTTACAACTATTTATATCAACTTTTTGCAAGTCAGGTTTAAGATCATAAGATCAAAGAGAAATTAGTATATTATACATATCTTTAATTTTAAATAGCAAGAAATCAAAAGTTTTCTTAATTCTTTTCTTAATTTGTGTATCAAATCAAACTCAAACAAGCAAATTAAAATGAAAGGGAGCAATACTTTTCATAATAAAATTTTGATTGCATATGATGTTGGCATCAAACCAATAAATACAAAATATGCATCTTTCATGGATATGTATTTATATGTTAATTAACAAATTATTAAATAGGCATTGGGCTATAGATTTTTTAATATTTTTTATTTTTTTTGGAATTTATGGAGTTGGAGTTGAAGAAGAAGTTGTGTTTAGTTATATTATTTGCAAAAAAAAATAATTAAAAATTGAAATAATATTTATGTTTGAATGTATTTAAATACAACTTTAAAAGTGAAACATGAGTTGAAAAATAAATTATAAGCTGTTTATTTTAAATTTAAAATACAATTTCAAGTTTAATTTGAATTTTATGATCATATACTGATTCAAATAAAATAAAAGTTACTCCAATAAAAATAAATTATTTTTATGGCCAAATGATTCCTATGAAATAATATCTATTAACTTTCCTTCATTTTTAACTACGAACTTATTTAATTTAGTATAAACATTTGATGCACATAAATATACATTACTCTAGTTCACTTGTTTAAATAACTTTTGATTGTCATTCTAATTAATGCCTTTTGAATACAGGGAGCATGACATACTGGCCCAGAATATAAACCCGTGGAAAGTCTTGCCATGTTAAAGCGTTGGTTAACCTATGAATCACTCTGATTTAAAGTATATTTATTGATAATATTATTTTTATACCATGAATTCTATTTGATTGATTATGAGAAGTTATAAAGAACTTTGTTTTTGAAATTATTATATTAAGTTTGGTATGAAGCATTACCTGTTGTTGAAAGGTAAGAGAGCAATTAAAAATAAAAAATGTGAGCAACTTACCTTATGATACTTTAAGCAATATTTAATTAGCTCTAATTATAGGTGGCTTTATGAATTTAAATTTCGGGGGTAAAATTTATCCGCATCGGGTGTTTACACCAAGCCAATACATGCATGTCATGTGTTTAAATTTATAGTTCATTTTACTTCATTAAATCATGTAATAATAGAAATTACATTGGCTTGATGTAAACACTCGGTGCGGGTAAGTTTTTTCCAAATTTTGGCTTCAACTTTCAAGGAGTATATTTTTAAGGAAAAAAAGACCAAAAATACACCTCAACTAAAATATGAACAAAATTGCCCTTATTTTCATTATGGTTACAAAGTCCAAACATACCCTTATTATCACTTGTAGATTGGTTCATAATTTGCCTCTCAACTAAAAAAAATAATTTAGAATAAATTTGATTCCAAATTTGTTCTTATTATGAGGTGGACTAGCTTATGTTTGCCCTTCAATACAGTAATACAATTTATTTATTTATTTGATCAATTCTTTTATTTTAGGATAAAGTTTTTTATTACAATTATATATTACAATCAAACTATCTTAAAACTCATATGCTCTATCTCAAGTCACCCACCTTAACTTCTTTAGTTGTCAACTCCGTCGTGTAGGTATCAAATCAAACCTAACCTTCTATCAGATAGAGATTTTTCGAATAGAAAGTTGTCTCTAACTCTATTAACCGACCTATTACTCTTCCTCAAGTTCTCATGTCAACACCCTAATCCTTGAACCCTCTTAGTAGACCATATGTAAGATTCCTACTAAACCATCTTGACTCAAATCCCTACTTATCAGATATGTTCTAAATACTAAACAACTATATTAGTTCCAATATTTAAATTGTGCACCAGACCCTTGGTCATCAGCTTGACCTAGTAAACCACAACTTAGCAAAACAGATAATATATAATTAAAATCACAAGTATAACATAGCGTCAACTCCAAGTCTTCACTCTTAGTTGATATGCATAATAAATGTGAACAACCTCAGCATAACAAGCCATACACGATCCATCACACCTTTCAAGTAACCTGAACCATCAAAGATCCTTAGAACATCATTTAACATGCAAAATTGGTCTGCATAAGAACTATCCCATCATTCAAAATAAATCTAGCCATTCATGGACAAACATGTAACCATTCCACTACAAAGAAGTAAATTTGGTACACACAAATTGTTAGTGTACTGATGTAGTACCCGAGCTATTGTTAGTGTACCGGCGTGATATCCAAGTCAATCATTAATGCATGGTATCCAAACCAATCGTGGTGACATCCTATATCAGGCATGGTACCCGTGCCAACCATTAATCACACAAATACAAGCACAATCACATGCCCTTGTAAATACAAGTAAGCAACACCTCCGTTGCATGAGATTGTCAACATTCATCATTTAAAATCATGTTTTTTTCTTTTTTCATTTATCCTAATCATATATCATGCATGCAATATGAAGGAAACAACTGACAAGTACATATAACATAGACAAGAAAACAACAATCATCGCCTACCAAAAAGATTTATTCCCAAATATTTTTTTATCATAATCCGACTATCCACAATTTTCTTCCTAGTATAACACCTAACAAATATCATAATATCAACAATAACTAATCAAGTTTATCATCAGCCTAAATCACAGTTAAACCACTCATTCAATCAATTAGACCATGTGCCTGAAGGCCTATGCATGAAATCTCCTTACAGTCTACAAGATATTGATATAAGTAAATACAGATCTAACTACCCTATTAAAAAAATCTAGCATTCCTGCAAACCAAACTGTTGATGCAGAAGTCTGACCATGAATCTTTGACCCTTTAGTGAAGCTTTAGCTTGTACTTGGTCTAACATAATAATACAACAAGACAATCAATGCCCTAGATTCTAAGGCTCAAGAGTCAAAATACAAATTAGGGGAGTAATTAACTTACCTTTACAAAAGAAATTGGTGAAAAAACTGGGGAAAGTTTCCCTATATCGCCATTCCTTTTCTCAAGAACGAAGTTGCAGAATAATGAGAGGTTTTGGAGCTTTTCTACACAAAAATCTGACTAACCCTATTACAGCGGCTTGCACGAGACAGAAACTTGAAATTCTCCCCAAAAGCCCCCATTTCGCAACACATCCTCAAATTTTGACGTTCTAAAATAATCCTTTCACGCCAAGTTCGATATTGGGAGTTCTACGCATTCGAATTTACTTTCGAAAAAGTCTTACGAGCTCCTTAATGTCTTAAGCTAAAAGAAACCAGCCCACACTTAGACATTATCACCAATCCTTTCTCATATTGCCCTAGGCCTCACCTTACTCAGATTTCACCTAAGGCTGACCTAAGCCTAAAATTTTTAAGTCGATACCCAAAAAGTTTTCTTATCAAATTCTTTTAACACTGATCTATCCATAACAATTGAAAATCGTTACATTTTAAAACATGAATGAGAGGGGGGAGAAAACCACATATAGAAATCGAATTAATCGACCTAATAAATTCTGATGTCTGGATAATTAAACTAAAATATGTTTCTATGATGCATCGACTTCTATAATAACCTTGTCAAGAAATAAAAAATGTCCATGTTACCTCACGTGATCACGATATTTATGACCAATTAATAAGGCCCCGCTATAATATAGTATAATATATGCGCAGAAGCAGCCATTAATTAATTAATTAACAAAATTGAGACCCACAAACTTAGTACCACTTGTCTTGTAAAATATATATCAAGAAAATTTATTTCTTGTCCAGTTTTATCCACCATATGTATTCGAGGGAGAGGCTAAAATCGAAAAATATAAGATTCAGTATTTTCCATTCTCAAGTAGAGAAAAGAATGAAATACTTGAAGATGAAGTGTTCACTTCACATTGTCTTGTTAATTTTTGTAATATTTGAGATATATCCATTTTTTGTTCTTGCTGGTTCACCTGTCAAGTATCTTCCTGGATTTGAAGGACCACTTCCATTTCAACTTGAAACCGGGTAATTTTAATACTTTCTTCATTTATTTTTATTTATTCATTATATATTCTAAAAAAGAAGAAGCTATTCACTTGTAATGTATCAAAGTAAATATTAATTATCTGTTTTCTAGATTATGAAAAATATTCATATCAATTACTATTAATTTTTTTTAAAGGCATATTCAAAATATACAAATAAAAGTAAACTGATAGAGTATTTCATTCACTAATCTTTCAGTTATTAGAGGCAAAATATTATTTCCTCAATAACTTTAGTATGTAACATGGAAATGTTTTTGTTTTGTTTTTTGTTTTAAAGTTATTTTTTAATTATTATTATTATTTTTAACATAAAAATGTTTGATTGGGACTAGAAAGAAAATATCTAGTCTTGGTTCCTCCATTTACAGGTTGACTTAGAGGATTTTTTTTTTTTTTTTTTTTTTTTTTTTTACCGTGGTTTCCGGGCGTCGCTTTGCGAACCCGACTAGCTGTACCCACCGGGTCCCGCTGTTTCAAGGCGGGTCCACCACGGTTAGTTCCACGGGGCCCTGGAGACGCGGCCGGTTTGTAATGCCTCCAGTGGCCCTGCTGGGGCTCGAACCGGCGACCTGAAGGACTTTGAATTATTTCTTAATTTCTAAATTTAATATTTATTTTTAATATAATAGATGAGTAAAAATAAACAAAATATTTATGACACGCTTGCAATCTTATTGAAAAATGTAGTTTATAAAGTAGCTGGCAGCGCACTTACTTTTCTTACTTATGTGTCTACTAGTCAACACATAAGGTTACTTTATTGCAAAACATTTGAATCACACCCTAAAGTTTGTATCTACTCCTTTCATTAATTTATATGATATTTTTAAAATTTTAAAATTTAAATAAATTTATTTTTTATCATAAATTTTTCATATATTTTTTAATTATTTTAGTACTCCATAATTTTGCCCAAAAGTGCATCATCCAACTTAATTAGTATTAGGAAAATATGGAGGATATGATTTATGGTATTTAATGACCATACTATAGTAGAAGACGACCAAAATATCAAATTTGTATCGTCTTTGAAAAATTAATATTCCCTCCGTTTAATAATAGTTGTTCACTATATTAAAAATAGTTGTCCAACATTATTTGTCCAATTTAGAAATCAAGAGATAATTTACCTTTGGGTCCATTTTACCCTTGTTATTACATACTATTTATCATCTAACACATTTCTTAAAACATTAAATTTAATAAAGTCAAAGAATCAAATAGTGATATTACCCCTATTATTTATTATTTATTATTTATTATTTATTAAGGGGTGTGCCAAGTCAATAGTGAACAACTATTGTTGGATAGAAGGAGTATTATACCAGCTACTTTTTTTTAATCATTTCAAGGTAAGGTAAAATATGAGCTCATTTTTTTAATTATATTATGTTACAATATCTTTTTGTCATTTTTTGATAATGCAATAAACATGATTTTTTTTTATATTGGTGATTCTTAAATTAATTAATCAGGTATATAGGAGTAGATGAAGCAAATGAGGTGCAACTCTTCTATTATTTTATAAAATCGCAATCTAATTCAAAAATCGATCCACTTATTTATTGGTTTACGGGAGGTCCTGGTTGCTCTCCATTGAGTGCGATTTTATTTGAATTAGGTAAGTTATTCTAAAATTTGTCTTTATATCATAATGCCTCATATTAGTTGAATTTGAGAATTTTTATCTTTTATGAGATAATTAATAGTCATATATGTATTTATAATTTGTTTTATATTTCTTTTACATAATTAGACATATTTCACTATCATTATTATATATAGGGAAAAGGGTTTGAAAAATACCTCAATTTTGGTCGGAATTGTTATTACGATACCAAACTTTAATGGGGACCTATTAACCTCCCCCCCCCCCCCTAGACTATTTAATACCATATTTTAAACATATATATTTACCCAGCTGGTCAAGTGCGTGAAAACACGACGCATAGGCACGTAGGGCACATGATAAAAAAATTTAGGCCAATCATTAAATGCCACGTATCAATACATGGATTAAACTATATCTATTTCTTTTTACCTATAATTCTAATTCATTTTACACCCTTTCTCCTTCGCTGGAAATTATTTTCTAAATCCAAAAGACCACCATTGAAGGGCCAGGTAAGCTTTGTAGGGAACAAATTATGTTCTTTAATTTCAGATTATTTTTCTTGGTCTTATTTGTTCTATTGTTATTTAGGTCTTCTAATTTCTTTCCTTGATTTCTAACACAATTTTGATCTTTGATTTCCTCTTTGGCAATGAAGTGAAAGAGAGTTTTGGGAAAGAGACGGAGTGACAGTGAAGTGACTATTGATTTCCCCTTTTTCTTGACTTTTTCAAATATGTTTATTAAAGGGAACGAAATGACTAATTTAATTAATTTAATGAATTAAAACGCGCGTGTGACACACTCAACTAACATAGACTGAGTATGGGCAAATAAATATGTTTAAAATACTGTATTAAATAGTCTAGGGGGTAATAGGTCCTCATTAAAGTTTGGTATCGTAACAACAATTCCGGTCAAAGTTGGGGTATTTTTCAGACTATTTTCCTTATATATACTATTATTACTTATACTTTTAAAATATTATGTGTTTTACCACTAACTAAGAGTTTCATATCATTGATTGAGAAAGATACACTTAGATACATGTATTTTTGCTACCAAATACACTAAAATAGGGAGAGAGGCGAGCGAGATTTTGTTATGTATCCGAGATACATGTAAATCACACTAGATATACACTATATACATGTATCGATATGTATCTTGTTTGATCTGCATGTATCTGGGATACCAAATACGTAGGAGAGCGGCAATCAAGATGGGAGAAAGACGAGCGAGATTTGTTATGTATCCCAGATACATGCGAACTCACTTGGATACAGTGTATCTAGAACAAATTTGACCTCATTTATCCTGAGATACATGTATCTAGACGTATCTGGACGCACCAAAATCTGATAAGTCACATAATATTGAAAACTAGAGTGTATCTAAGTAATTAACTCTTTAACTAGTGAGATTTATGTAAGTTTTCCTTTTTTAGTGTCTATATTAAACAAAATATAATCACATAATATATATATATATATATACTTTTTTTTTAATTTTCTTGCTAAGATTTGCAGGACCCATTACAATGGATATTAGAGCGTATAATGGGAGCTTGCCAACGTTGTCTTTAAATCCATATGCATACACAAAGGTTAGAAACAATAAATACATTGTAATAATGTATTTTTCTTTTTATTTGAAGATAAATTTAATATTATGACTCATTAGGATAATCAAAACAAAATTTAAATAGATTGTTTAAAATATTTTTCAAATTGATTAGTAACCTACAAATTACTTCTCATTAAAGAACCGTTTTAAAAAAAATTACTTTCGACACAAAATAACTTTTAAAATAACCATACAAGCTAGTAGTCTCAAACAAAAGAATAATAATGTTTTGTTCAGTCAAATTTTCAAAATCTGTTTCTTTTATAAAGTTGTTTATTCGAAAGTAATTATTGGAAAAAATACTTTCGGAGAATAGAAGTCATTGTTTGACTAATCAATTTGAAATGTACATTTATCAAAATCAGAATAGCAATTTAATTTGTGCTCGTCCAATAATCTAAAAGTTCCAAAAATATGTTTTGGTTAAATTAAACACCTTAATTTTCTAAAATAAATACTTTTAACTTCTCGAAAATTTTGACAACAAATTAATAATGGTTAAATTATAGGTGGCAAACATGATTTTTGTAGATTTGCCAGTAGGGAGTGGATACTCCTATGCAACAACACAAAAAGCAAATTACTCAGATGATTTACAATCAGCTGATCATGCTTATGAATTTCTTCGAAAGGTAAGTCAATTGAAAGTCATTATCGAGGGTCGTGGTGGGATAGATAAAAAGAAAATTTAATTTAATCAGAGGTCTTATTCGAACTCTAGATATGAAAAAAAAATCTTATCAGGGAGTGTGTGCATTCTCTTACCCGGCACGAATTTAAATTAATCGGGATTCCAATATGGATACTGAATATTAGGTGGAAAACAAAAAAAAATTACCTTGAAATGTCATCATTAGAATCTTTAGCGACAATTAATTAACGACAATAGCTTAATTGCCACTAAATATGTATTTTTAGTGGCATTTAGTATTTTTTGTAAATGTTCCTAAAGTCTATAGCCACACCGGATCCAATGACAATTAACTAATGTCGATATATATTTTAGCGCTCTTTGTTAATGTGCATATTTATTGCCGTTAAAAGTTGTATTTATTTTAGTGTAGTTATATAAAAAAAAATTTTTTTTTTTTAGTTTACTATTTTTTTAAAATATATATACTTTGCAGTGGTTAATTGAGCATCAAGAATATCTCAATAATCCTTTCTATGTTGCTGGAGACTCTTATAGTGGAATTACAGTTCCTATTGTTACTCAAGTCATATCAAATGGTAATAAATTAATAGTTTGTATAATTATTTTTATAATACATAGTTTTTTCTCTTATAGAAAAATATAATAGTATATTGTTGATGCAAATTATGCAATAATGCAGGTATTGATATGGGAATCAAGCCATGGATCAATCTTAAGGTCAGTAATCATACATGTTTTTTCTCTTTTTATTAAGCCAAGCTCATTTAATGATTAATTTCCTGAATTATTTATTTTTATTTTACTTGACTCATCTATTAAAAATATATGTTTTATTTTGCTTATCCATTTTAGCAAATCAAGGAAATTTTATAACATTTTCTCTGTACTTACCCTTGGGAATCATTTGGTTGGGAACACGTTATCCTGAGATTAGAAGTCTCACCCTTGAAGTGAGATAAAAATAAAACTACGATCCCCGGATAAGTTATCTCGCAATTTTATCACAATGAAACATTGGATAAAGTCATCCTAAAATTAATCTCGAGATAGTTATCCTTTAGTTCTCCTACCAAAGTAGTAGTACTCAAATTTAAAGTCCTAATACATTATTAATAAAAGGGAAAAGGGTCTAAAATGCCCTTTAACTATGTGAAAGGGAAAAAAAAATGCCCTCCGTTTATGATTTGGCTAAAAAATGCCTTTACCGTCAATACTTTGGTTCAAAAATTCCCTTTAACTAAGCGAAAGGAACAAAAATGCCCTCCGTTTGTAGTATGGTCCAAAAATACTCTTGCCGTCAATACTTTGGTCCAAAATGCCCTTATTGTTAGTTAATGGGTCAAAAATGCTCATTTTCCAAATAAATATATTATTATTTTCTTTTTAACACATTCTTTTTCTAATAATGTTTTTTTTTTTAAAATTAGCAAATGTTTATCTTACTTCAATTCAAAAAAAATAAAAATGAAAATATTTCTTATTTTATTGTCATTAATTTTTATCGTCATATAAATATAAATTAATGATGGATATACTATGATCTTAAATATATGACATATATTATTTGTCGAAAGGGTACATGAAGTTATTCTATTTTAATTGATAAAATGAGATTAAGAAGAAAAGAGATATTTCCTACATTTTTATTTGTTAAAGTGATTTTAGAAGAAAGAAAACAAGAATAGTGTTCTTTAATAATATTTTAATTAGGAAGAAGATGTGTTTAAAAAGAAAAAAAAAAATTATTCGAAAAAGGGCATTTTTGACCCATTTTGTAACTATAGGGGCATTTATGGACCAAAGTATTGACTACAACGGGTTTTTTGAGTCAAAATATTGACGGTAAGAACATTTTTAAGCCAAACTATAAACGGAGGGCATTTTTATTCTTTTCACATAGTTTAAGGACATTTTTGACCTTTTTCCCTTAATAAAATTTAATAAAATAACCTCTAATTAATTTTTTATAAAAAAATGTTAAATTAACAAAGCCAAATAGTATGAAATGGAATGGGTATATTAACTTAATTTCATGAATGTATTGAGTCTTGAATATTGCTTATTTAACATTTAATGAGTTAATGGAGTTAATTCTACGTACCGCTCACAAAACACATTATGTATTCATTAGGTTGGTATTCAATATTTGTATTAGAATTCTGACTATCTAAATTCACTATCATACAAGATTCATGTAAGGGGAAAATTTCCTTAACTAAAAAAATTTCATACACAAAACTCAACCCAAAATTTCTAATTAAAAGAGGAATTTTACTACCTCTTCCATTCACTTTTAATTTTGCATGCTTCTTAAAAATGATTTATACGAGTCACCATAATATTCATATTAATTGGTGTTTCAATCTTTAAAAATAATTTGACGAATATATAAGTCATTAACACTAAATATAAAATATGAAAAAAATATATATATCGTATATTAAAAACGATAACTACAAATAAAAAAATATTTTAAAAATAATAGACAAGTAAAATTAAACGAATTTTGTTATGTATTTTTTGTGGAATTAATGGTATTTGCAGGGATATATTCTTGGGAATCCAGTAACATCTCCTGCTCCAGATTACAAGTATAAGGTACCTTTTGCTCATGCAATGGGCCTAATTCCTGATGAACTATACAAGGTATATATGATTATCATTTATAGTCGCTCTACTATGTATTAAACGTGAATTATATGTAATATATACGTATTATAAATATATTATATTAGTTTTGATTAAAAAAAAGTTGGACTATGTATTAAAAATGAATTATGCATGTAAATAAATTTGGATGTATTACACTATATATAAAAATTGAATTTGCATGCAATATAGATGTATGACAAGTGTCTTAAAATGTACTAGACTTGTTTTGATAAAAAAAAATTACACTTTAGTATTAAAAGTGAATTATACATGTCATATAAATGTATTAAAATTAGGGAAACTTACATAAATTCTACTAGTTTAGGAGGTAATTACTTAATTAGATACATTCTAGTCTGCAATATTATGTATCTTACTAGATTTTGGTGAGTCTAAATATGCTTATATACATCCATCTCGAGATATATGTGGTCAAAATTATGTGTAATTTGTTCTAGATACATTGTATCAAAGTGCATTCGCATGTATCTGGGATACATGACAAATCTCGCTCACTTTCTTCCCCATCTCGCTCACCTCTCTATTTCAGTATATCTGATAGCAAAAATGCATATATTTAATTAATGGTAAGATACGTAATATTTTCAAAGTATATATTTGAGTAAGTATCACAAAAAGTCAGACGACACAAATAATGACTTGTTTAATGACTGGTGACTTTTATTTTTGTTTTTGTTTTATAGAGAACTAATTAATTAAGTGGGCTTAATTTCTTAAACAGTCATTTGTGAATAATTGTGGAGGAGATCATTACAGCCATAATGATTCAACCAACCAACTTTGTTCGAGGGACATACGTACGTTTGATTGGGTTAGCTCTCATTCATTCATTTAAATTTTTTTTGGAAGAATAATTTTGGTTGTCAAGTTAAAAATTAAGAGCAATTAATATATTAATGCAGTTGATTAAGGATATTTATCAATATAATATCCTAGAGTCCCCTTGTGAACTTGTATCACATGATTCAAGAAGATCGTTGCACGAGAATGTTCAAAAGCTCAAAAATCTTACTACATTTTTTGGAATTAAATGTCGAGTAAGCTTTTATTATTTTCAAGATTTACTTTAATTTGGATTTTACTGTTTGAGATTTACTTTGATTTTTTCTATGGATCAAGGTTTAGACTTAGGGTTCTAGTCCAAAGTCGAGGTTCGGTGTGTCGAGTCTTGAGCCGAGGTCAAAGTCGAGTCTCAGGTTAAGTTTCAAGTTTCGGGTCAAAGTCAGGTCTCGAGTCCAGTGACGTAGCCACATGGTGGTTAGGTCGTTGGAAAAAATACCGTATATACAAGTAAAATGATATACAAAATGATTAAATGACATATTTTGGACACCCTTAACATAACAAGCTATTATAGCCCACTGGTTTCACCTCCTTGGAATGAAGAAGTGCTCGTGTGTTCAAATCTCACTATTTCTACTTTTTGAAAAGAGCTTTGTTGTGCTATTTCTGGACACCCTTTGTGAAATTCCTGGCTCAGCCACTACTTGAGTCCCGATCGGAGTTAGGGTTAGGTTTTGGATTCTAGGTTAAAGTCGAGTCTCGAGCCCCAAGTCATGGTCACATCTAGGGTCTCAAATATCAGGTTTGGGTCGGGTTTGGGTCTCTAGTCTCATGTTCCTGATCAAACTCAGGTCTCGAGTCTCAAGTATTGAGTGAGGGTCCAATCTCGAGTTCCAAGTCAAAGTCGGGTCTCAAGTTTTGGTTCAAGTCATCATCGGATCTCAAACTTCTTGGTCAAATTTAACCCAAAAATTGTATTGGAGAATAAATTTGAACAATTTTGAATACATGGACAAAAATTAAACTTTTTCTCGTTATTCAATTATAATTAGAAAATCAGGATAAACACTTACCAATTTAATTTGCTCCCTTTGTAATTCTTTCTTTAGGAAGAATGGCACGAACTCTCTGTGATTTGGGCCAACGATAAAATTGTGCAAGACGCTCTACATGTTCGAAAGGTATGATATTTCGAATATAAAATAATATTTTCTTTAAAATTAAACCTAGATTATTTACTAAAACACAAAATTCATAAACTTCAAAAGACTAGTATAGCATGGGAGAGATGCAGGAAGTTGTCTTTTGGAACAATTATCAACAATACTGTACCATATCATGCAAATCTTAGTCATAAAGGCTTTAGATCTCTTATTTACAGGTATTTATTAAACTATATATTATAATCATAAATTATTTAACTTGGTACATATTTTTTATGTATATGAATTTTTGTTTGTTTTGAGTAGTGGTGATCATGACATGGTTGTGCCATTTAGTTCAACACAATTATGGATTAAATCACTAAACTATTCAATTATTGATGATTGGAAGCCATGGGTTGTTGATGGTCAAGTTGCAGGGTGAGTTCCTTATAACTTAAATATTTCTTCAAATATATATGTATATTATAATGTTAAGAAAATGAGGTAAATGCAAATAAAATTAATTTAAGTTTTATTATTGCATAGTTATACAAGAAGTTATTCCAACCAAATGACGTTTGCCACGGTCAAGGTAAGACTAATTAACTTCATCATGATTTCCTCTTTCATACATACATTTATCATTAAATTGTGATTAAGTTATCCGCAACTTATAAAATTGTCACTAGTTTAGGAGTTAATTATTTAGATACATGTTAGTTTGCTATATTACGAATCTTACCAGATTTTGTTGCGTCCATATAGTCCAGATATACGTATCTCGGTATACATAATCAAAATTAGGTGTAATTTGCTCACGATACATTATATCTAAGTGGATTCACATGTACCTAGGATACATAAATAAATCTCAATTGCCACTTTGTTATGTATTTGATATCCCAGATACCTGTCAATCACACCAGATATATTTATCTAGTGTGTATCTAGAATGATTCGTATGTATCTAGGATGCATGGACAAATCTCGATAGCCTCTCTCTCTATTTCAATGAATTTGGTAGCAAAAATCATGTATCTATGTGTATTTGACTTAAAATATGATATAAATTTTAACTAGTAATATAAAATATAATTACTTCAAACTATAGGGAGAATTAGTGTATATATATACATTATCAGGACTTTTAGTGCACTTAATCACTTAGCTGAAAGTAACTGCAGTCGTTAGTCAGATATACAAAAATAAATTAATAGTATATACACTAATTATATATATATATATATATATATATATATATATATATATATATATATATATATATACACACACCGTGCTTGAAACATATATTTACCATGCTTCACTTATTTAAGTAACTTTTATAATTTTATTTGATGCATTTTGCATTCAGGGAGGAGGGCATACGGCCCCTGAGTGGAAACCTGCGGAATGTCTTGCCATGTTAAAGCGTTGGTTATCCCATGTATCACTTTAACTAATTTTTATCATTTTTAATGAAACTCTTTTCGAGTCTAAAAGTACTTTTTATAGGATTTTAGTTACATATACTAACAGTATAATATATTTTTATGTCATTGGCTTAATCTAGTTGGCTATGCTAGGTTATTACTATCAGAGTATATATATATATATATTCTGATGGTATTAAGGATGAAGAAGCAGTGATTCAGTGACTAGAACAAAGGAGCAGTCGCGTAAAATTTATCATGCTTCACCCATTTAAATAACTTTTGTAATTTTATGTGATGCATTTTGAATTCAGGGAGGAGGGCATATTGCCCCCGAGTGGAAACTTGTGATACTCAGTTACTATATTGATACCATATTGATATTATATAGGACTGAGCTTAATCCTCTATGATACTCCATCGGTATATTGATACCTTATCGATGTCATATAGGATTGGACACTTTTTTAAAGAAATAAATAACAAAAAATTAAGAGAAATTATTAAAGTCACAATCTTATTGGTTAAACTTTAAATTAGTAGAAAATATATTATTTGTGATACTCCGTCGGTATATTGATACCATATTGTAGGGTGTACATGGCCGGGTTGATTCGGGTTTTTCAAATATCAAATCAAATCATTTGTATAAATTTTTTAAATTTATAAATCAAACCAAACTGATAAACTCGGATTTTTCAACCTCGGATTGGTTCGGGTTTTTCAAATACCAAACCAAACAATTGTGTCGGATTTTTAATTTTTTAAATCAAACCAAACTAATAAATCTAGGATTTTTTCAGGTTTTTGGGTTTTTCTGATAAAGTGTGCATACAAACATATAATTAACTTGTCCTTCAAATATCTCTTTAGTCCAACCAAAATACAATTATCTAAGGTGTTTCTTAAAAAAATAACACAAAATATGAGATGAGTGATGACACAAAAATTTTCAATAAAAAATAATAATGAAATCATCATATAAAATAAATATTCCATAGTCATAGTGAAAATGATGCTAATTTAAAAGTACTAAATCATTCTAAAATAAGTCTAATAAGTATTAGTTACATGATTAAAAATTTAAAAAAATTAAATTTTGTATTTTAAATGTCTAAACCAATGTAAAACTAAATAACAAATATTCAACATTATTGTTATTCTTAGTGTTGAATTAATTTATCTTGTTAGCATAGTATTGATTTGATTTCGAATTGAGCTTTATTGTAGTTACTAATATCTATAGACTATAACTTTTATTGGACCATTCAAAATTCTAAGTTTAAAAAAACTTGAAAAAATATGTTAAAAAATAAAAATTATGAAAACGTATAAGTAATATTTAGAAATTACATCAAAGTAAATACTTTCATGTGTAAAATAAATTTTAAAAATTAATGTCGGGTTGGTTTGGTCTCGGGTTGACTTTTTTTAGTTGAAACCAAACCAACCCAAGTATAATCGGGTTTTTTTTTTCAATACCAAACCAAGTCAAACCAAACCATTAGTCGGGTTTTTTTTTCCGATTTGACTCAATTTGCGGTTTGATTCGGTTTTCGGTTTGATTTTGTACACCCCTACCATATTTGTATAATATAGGACTAAGCTTAATCCTTTGTGATACTCCGTCGATATATTGATACCCTATTGGTTTCATATAGGATTGAACTCTTTTTTTTTTAAGAAATAAATAAGAAACAATTAAGAGAAAATTATTCAAGTCACAATCCTATTTATTAAATTCTAAATTAGTATAAAATATATTTATATATATTTTTAAATTAAAATATTAAAGAATTGAAACACACCTCAATGATACCGCGATAGTATATAGATATACCGTAATGGTATCATGGATGATTGAGTAATTTCATAGAAAAACTAAAGTAAACCTCAATAAAAACATTGTTCAATTACACATTAATACCACAAGAGTATATTGTACTTTAATGGTATCAAAAAGGAAGAAGCAGTCCTTCGGTGAAGATACTCGATCTCTCTTGCAACTTCATGGTCTGTCATAGTTGAACCATTAACAAGAACTTTCATTGCCACATGAATGCCACTTGGCACATGATTCAACTCAATGAATGAACTCAGTTGACTCTCGTACAATTGAATAAATGCAACCATAAGTTAATTAATTTGAGCAATTAATGTTGTGGTAAGTCTCATAGTTTTATCCTTGAATTTGAACATGTGACCTCTAATTATGAATGAAGGAGTACACTCCAACTTATTGGCTATAGAAATTTGTTCTTGTTATTGTTGTTGTTGTGGAGGGGGGGAGGTCCATTCGGTATTGATATTCAGATTCAACTATATCTGAATTCGAGTATAAAGTGTTTCAACAAAAATAATTTTAATTTTCTAAGTTAAAACACAAGATCTATAACTAAAGATGAAAAGATATACCCCACCACAACTTATTGGTATAAAGCAATTGTTTTATTTTTTTTTATTCAATATTCATACTGAGATTTGTTTAAATTAGAGTTTGCATTGAGAAATCTCATATAAAAAGTAAAATACTTATAACAAAAATGATTTCATAATTTGAAATCGAACCTGATGCATGAAAGAATCCACTACATCAAAACATGTTTGGTATATATGAAGCAATTAATTTAGTTTGTAGGGTAACAATAATATACCAACATATTATTTGCAATTGCTTTTTGCACACTAACATTAAATACGTTTTTGACTTATGCTATACTTTTTGTTACTCCTATCAAGTATATACATACTATTGTTAGTTGTTCTATGAAATAAATTTTGAAGTTATGTTTAGCAGATAAGAATATTAATTTGGACAATTAATGTTGTGGTATGTCTCATAGTCTTATCCCTCAATTTAATTATAGAAAGTTATTTTTTTTAATTATAATATTAATTAATAAAGATGTTGGTGATAACAAATGGTAATGTATTTTCTTAAAAGGTATAGACGAAGAACGGATGGAGAACGATTAGAGAACAGTTTCTCCGTAGATCTTCCTCAAGTATCAAACAATCAATTCAGAATTGATACGGATAAGTAGCTATTCATTTTTTCGGAGGCCATACATATGTTTTTCATTGTAAATCTAGCAAAACTACGATTTATATACATGCATGACTCTATAACCATTTATTTCTAATTGGATGGTGTTGAATAATGATGATTGTGTTGTAGGGTGATCAAAAGAATTGTTCGTTAATTCTATTAATAATAGATTAGTGATAGATTATGAAAATTATTATTGATTATGAGTTATTTAGTGATGAAATTCATAGTTAATTTCGATTGTAAATCATTTTGTGATATTCTCTATTAAGAAAATTAAAAAATATGACATAACATGACAATCTATAGACTTAATTGACAACAAATAGCCCATTTTATTTTTTTAGCAAAACTGTAAAATAAAATTATTTGGCACTAAATAGCCACATTTTTTTGTTTAATATTGAGTTGATGGTTCGTTTTATTGATTGTTAAATCTATATAGAATAAAGCCAACGGCCCAAAAGAATTAAAAGAAGCAATACAAAAGTCAAACAACTATGTGGCCCATTTCTTTCCCACCCCCAGTGTCACGTCCCGCCACATCACAGTTAATGAATTCTCTAGAATAACTTAGATTTTTCAAGAAGTCTTTGGAAAATCCTAAAAAGTGTAGAACTCTCTAGAAAGGGGACCAAAGTGTAAATAAGTTAGAGACTTGTAAGTAATTTTAAATTACACTTAAGCCCTTAGGAGTTAGTATAAATAGGGGTGTCATTCATTTGCAAGGCATCCAAGCTTGAGAACAAGCATCCAACAAAGTGTAAGCAATCTTCCAAGCAATATAAAGTTTTCTTCCAAATCTTTCTAAGTCTTTCTTTGCATTCTCTTAGTGATTTTAGTTTCAAAGGGCTTACTTGAGCTTACAAGATCGTAAAAGATTCGTGAGTAAGTTGTCAAGTGTCGCACGAAACTTTAGTGAGACTCAAAATCCGTGACACCAGTCTCTTTATAACAATCACTTTTCTATTCTCTAGGGTTTCTCAATTGAGCTTGCTCTCCAAATATATTGCTCATGTCGCCTCATGGGACTTTCACCAACTTGACCTTCCTTTTCCTGTTGCATGGGATTATCAATCCTTTTGTCTTGCTGTTCTCTGATCCTCTTCTCAGCTCACAAAGGTAAGCTTTAATTGTTTCTTCCTCCTGTCCTTTTTCTGTCTCCCTTCTAACTTTTATTCTACTGCACTACGAGTGTTCTGGTGGATGTTTTGAATTTCCAAGGAGATTTTCGTAGAGGTGCCAAGTTAATGAGTTGCGAACCCAACTCTAAGTAAGCTCATTTCTTTATTTCGGTGTTCCTCTTGTTCCCAACTCTCTCTAACTTTCTTTTTTCTAGCTGAAGTGTTTGTGTTGATTTCAAGATGCTCCCGTTCTCCTTTCAAACAAAAGGAGATTGAATTGGGTATCGCAGTTGAGCGGACAGGCGACGGGAGAAAATTGAAGGAGTTCCTTCCCAGCCAAAGTTTCTCAAGTCTCCATCTGACTTTCAAGCTCTTGTCTTTTGCGGGTGGAATTTTTTGTAAGTTCACATAGTCTAAGTAGCTTAAATCTTACATTTATATAAGCCCTGAAGTGATAAATTTTGCTGATGTAAGTATCATAGATGTGAGACATTCTGATGTTAATATTGCTCTGCATTTAGTTCTGTTTGGTAGATCTCATGTGTTCTTGTTTTCTTTGTTTTGATTCTTAGCGTAGGTATCCTTGATTTATCTTCACTGATTAATTATCCCCATGCATGTTTCTATTAACTGTTGAATGCTACTCCATTGACTTAGCCTTGATGTTTATACGATTCATTTGCAAATTTATTTGTCTTCCTGTATACATGTTTAATATATGCTTGAGTGCTCAACATTAATTCCTGAATCTCCTTTTATCTCTCTGCTTGTTCCAAAGAAACTTTTCATTCTTGTTTTATTATCTTTGTTAATACCAATGAATCTGTTTCTACTATCACTTCTTTATGTCATTTCTTCTGC